GGGGGGGGGGGGCTACACCTGGCTGATCTAAGGCATATCAAGTCTGCTGCAGTAGAGAAAGGCGGACCTAGGTCGCGGACGGACATTGGCCGCTACTTCTGTGGATATCTAGTTCGTGTTACCGGGACATGGGTCCCGGCCCCGACCCACCGGCTGTGGCAGCTCGGAGCCAAGGCCTACCGCTGAGGTCTGACCATCGACGCAGCGGAGAAACTTTGCAGACTGGATCCACTGCATCGGTTGCGATGACTAAAGCGAGGACGGGTATCGCGGGCATCACCAGGAGGAGACGACGTGGATTGGTCGCGATCCCGGTTCTTGCTACCGCTGCTGCTGCGGTCCTTGCTCTCGGGGTTGATGCGGTGTCCGTACCTGAGGCCCCGGCGAGGGTAGACTTGGATGTGATGAGCGGAGACGAGGTGACGGTGGCATTTTCCGCTCCGCTGAGCGATGGAGGGTCTGCGGTGCAGAGCTACGAGGTGTGTGGGCTGTTGTCGTGAGTTGGCTTGTTGTGTAAGCCAAGAGCACCTCTCATGAACACCGCGCAAAATGCAAGTAATACACGTTTGGATGCATGTGTACTGTAGTGGTATTCCGTCAAGACTGTAGTATTTCAACATGTGTGTTTCTTGTTGCGGCACACGTGGAAGTCATAACACAGGAAGGTCAATGTCCTGACACTGCTGTGCTACTGAACGTGCCGCGAGGATACCGTGTAGCACATGCTGCTGTAGAATGGACCGTGAAAACCAGCGGCTTTGGCGGCGACATTCGCTCGAAATGCTTCGGTAACATGATGTGCACGTCCTGACTCGGATGGATCTTGTTTTCTTCTGTGCCGGTGTGTGGGTAGATTGAGTGGGACACCGACTCTGGAACACGAGAGGTCCAGTGGATCAAAACTTATGCGGACACCGGCCCAAACGAGATCCAGTCTATCACAACCACCGCCGACGATGTTGATGAGGTGCAACAGCTCATTATCTCTGCAAACGAGACCCGAGAAGTTCAGGTAAGCAAGGGTGCCGCCTGCTGTTGGCCGTATTCATGTTGGCTGAAATAAGTTATCCTCCGCCCGTCCGTTGGACAGGACCCTCGCACGGTGTGTGCCGTCATAATGGTATCGGCTGTTCATGCCGCTGAGTCTTTTTTGGAATTTGCATGCTCGTGAAACGTTTACAATCAGGTATCATAGTGCGACGATACTTTGATATCGAATACTTCCACAAAAAACAACGAGTCTTCGGTGTTAGCAGCCTGGTCGATGTGGTACCGCTCCTCCCGAGTCAAAACAATGGGTCGTATTGGTAGTGGCCTGTAGCGGAGGGCACGAAACTTCCTTCAACTTTCACGCATACTGCACCATTTTTCCAAGAAATGTTTTGCTTCAGATCGAATCGGTGCAGAATGTCGGACACACCTTCTCCAAGCCCAATTTTCATGTGCCTTGAGTGGCCCCTCTGCGGAAACATTTCGAAACGGAGGGCCACTGCGAAACGTTTCCGGAGACGGGCCACTAATGCCACAAGAGAGAATTGGGCTTGGAGGAGCTTTGTCGGCCATTGTGCGCAGGTCGGGATCTGCAAAAACAAGATTCGTCCGAAACAAACCGACTACTAATCCCCGGCAAAAAGTTGTACTCCATCTCATCCACGAGACACAACACTATGGTGTTCTCGTTTTTTGTCCCCCCCGTGTCCACCCGGGGTTGGGCTTTCGTCGCTTGGCAACGACGTTGTAAAACAAGCCGCCCCCCCCGGTGTTTGACATCGGGATTGGGTTTTCCTCGATTGGCAACGACGTTGTAAAACAAACCAATTCACTTCGTGAACTCGGCAACCAGGTTACCGTTTGTGTTTTTTTCCTCCATTGTTTTTGGCGGTGACCATTATGGTGGTCGAGTAGATCATGTTGTGCGGGGTCGAAAGTCCTCACTCCGCGCAAGGGGGATGATCGCACCACGTTGTGCTCAAAGCTCAAATGGTCAAGCACCCTCGAGGCATTTTCACAGTGCTTACAACTGTCTCAGGAAGTGAAAGCACCAGAAAATATAAGTCATACGCAGCTGTCATCCGTACGCAAGGAAGTAAGCACAAGATGCCGAAAACCCTTAGCAGGATGCAGCGCACCCTTCATGCGACTCGCCGAATATCTCACGGCGCTTCGCGCTTGGTGATGTGAGAGCCTGGTCCGGTGAGAACCCGGCGTGCTCCGTCCCGGCTTTGTAGGGATGCGAGGTCAATGGTCTAACGACTACGGCATGCACGACTATGAGTACACCCCCCCCGTGTCCACCCTTTGCACGTACGCTGTAGAGTCTACACCCACCGATTTTCCGGCAAGATATTGTCCAACAGTTCGAGACTACCCTACCCCACCATTGCCGTGTGAAGCGTCCAACCGAATCCCCGTTTGTTCCCTTGCACCTCCGTGGGTGCGCGTACGTTGATTGGCGACGACTCCAGTCCATCACCGTGTCCGATGCAAGCGCGGGATCGTTCATGGTCACCCTAGACCTCACGGCTAGTGGGGGCTCCGTGCAAACGTCAGGGGAAATTGCCTACAATGCCGACGCGACCGGCGGGCGTACTAGCGTCCAGGGCGTCCTCGAGGTAAATGGTTGATCGTTGCTAGCCTAACCCTTGTCTTGCATTGTAAGCAGGGAGTGGGGGAGGTAGCCGGGGGGAGTTCGTTGTTCTCCAGTCGATGCGTTGTTGACCGTCCACGAACTTGGCGGATGAACATATGCTTGTGATGACACCGCTTTGTTCGCTCACCCAACCATGTGGCAATTGGTTGGTTTAATGGCCTCAGGTAGCTCGTAGCCTCGCAGACCAACTTTGCCTCCGTTCTCCTTTGCTTCAACCACCATAGTCTCGGATATCGTATCGGTACCGTGATTCACGACGACTTTGTGTGCAACGGCCTCATCTACTGAACGGCTCGTTCTGCTCGGAACCCCGTGCCATGATTATTCATCCTACCTCTACGTTCCCGTTTTGCAACCTGCACAGGCCATGAAAAACCTTGGCCCGGATTACATTCACAACGTCACGTCTACCTACGACCTCGTATCCGGGTCGACCTACACCTACACGTGGAACGTAACCTTTTCGGCGGCCTTGGGCGATGTTCCGGAGATGTTTATCGGAGAAGCCGACGCCGATCTTTCGTCCGTCGGTGCGGACGTCTACATCGCTACCGTGCAGGTATGCCGTCGCACAGCTGCAAAGTAACCCCCCGGGTGTCCCTCGTAGGTAGGTCTGGAAACGAAGGGAACTGTGAAAGGTAGGGCACAACGCTTACGCTATTGTTTGTAAAAGCTTGTCGATAACTGTCATCGTAGGTCTTGGCAAGGGGAGAAAGCACGCGACGACGTTCCTTCACTTAACAGTGTGGAGGAGGTCGACATCGCCCCGGTCTATCAATTGATGCAGGAGTGGTGGTGAAGGAATAGCACGGAATACTTAGTTCGACGCTCAAAACTTGAACGTATCATGAAGCTCCGATGATCACTACCATCAAGCCTTCGCTCACAACAAGCGCCTGACACAACGATATGTACCCACAGGATGGCAACGTCATCGGTGGAGACTTTCGCCTGGGCTTCAGCGGCTACACGACATCGACCATTTCCTACGATGCCACTGCGTCTGAGCTCGGCAAGGCTCTTGCTGACCTACCTAGCATCGATTCCGTCGATGTGAGTCCTAGACAATTCCAAACCAATTGTGTCTCTTTGCAATCGCGCGAGCACAGTCCCAGTACACTCTGCAAATACCGTCTAGCGGCATGCAGGGAAATGTTTTCGTGGATCACAGCTTTGGTGCGAAAAACGTACTTGCATGAACGTGCCACAGCTGTTCTTTCCCCCTTCATGCAGGCACAAGTGGAGTTTAAATTAGCCAGCGTGGACACCCACCTTGCTTGCGTCACGAAAGCCTGACCAATTGCATTTTTTTACCAAAAACATACAACAGGTGGAGCGTTTGGGCCCAGATGACCAGGGTGGTTTCAACTGGACTGTCACCTTCACGAGCGACAACCAGGACGGCGACCTTCCCCTGCTTACAGTTGAAGCAGACGACATCACGGCAACGGGCGCGCTCGTAGAAGTGTACTCGCTGGAGGATGGCAGCTATCTTGACGGTTTCGTGAATGTTACGTTTGCTGGGAATTCTAGCCAAGTTGCGGCGAACGCGACCGCGGAGGAGATGCGGGTTGCCCTAGAGGCCCTGGGCACTGGAGGCCTGGCTGTCTCTAGAGAAGGTATACTTGTACTGTGTGCTTTTCAGATTTGTAAAAATTGTTTTTTTGGGGTTCGTTGAGGTTCGCTGCGATGTTCGATTTGTGGTCACACCACAGCTGGTATAGCCAGCTGTGCGTTGGTCCTGCCTGCCTGCTTCATTTTTTCATCTCGCATCACACCTCCTGATGACACTACTGTGCTCACATGTACCCACTCCAACAGGGATTCCTTATATCCTGAATTAATTTTTGCTGCTTTCTGTTTCGTTCTCAGCCTCGAACGCTTGTGATTTCTTCGTCGGCTAAGATGCGTTGGTGTACAACCTTGTTGAATCACTTGTCCTGTTTGCTGAGGTGACAAACACCCCAATAGCGCCAGCCGCAATCTGCAGCAGAAAGCTTTGATTCTCTGTGGAAGCTGCAGCATCTTGCGAGTTTACGATAGTTCCAGGTCCATTTTTTCCATGTGGGATTGGGTTACACAGTGTTGAGAATGTCTGCCCTTGCATTATCGACTGATTCCTGATGCCCCAGAGAGAGTTGGTAAAATAGTACCGGTTCACTGCTGCAGTGCAACAATAGCCTGAACCCACATCTCCAAACTATCAGGTAAATATTTGAGCTGGCTAGCATTACGGAAACCGAGTAATCAATTCCCTTCTCACACGTCTGTCTCTCCGTGTCGCTGGGCTGGTGAACACGATGGATTGATGGGGGGCAAACGCTTCCAGGCCCGAATAACCAACTAGGCTACGTCTGGACGGTGAGTGCCAATTTATTACAGGCTTGACCCGTTGCTATCGTCTCTTGGTTAGTATCGCTATTGTGAGTGCTGTTGTTGTGGGAGCCCGGTAATGGGGACGTTCCTAGTGTTGCAGTTGCTGTAGCTTCGAAAAGGTACTGGCGCGGGTGTTCGTAGCCTGACGCCTTTCTCTCCTTCTGGAGGCCAAATGACCGCCCGTACTAACCGCTGTTCAGGTGAACTTTCTAGAGACGGAGGGAGACGTTGACATCATCGAGGTGCATGGGCCGGACCTCACGGGAGACGGGAGCGCCGTTGTTTCCGAGGAGGTATGACATCAAGCGCAGGTCTTGTCTGCTCTCTGCAAGTGTTGAAGGTTTCCGCGTACGACTTTCTTAGATTGTCAAGACCTCGGTACTAAACCTGTACAAGCACGTCCAGACGTCATCAAGACAAGACGTTTGATGGATTCTTCTGTGGGGATGTCTCGCGTCGTGAATCAACGCAAAACGAGGGTAACTTCGAAGCACTCCGCATCTTCCCCACCATGGCGTACCTGCATCGTTAGACATGAAACCCTGATATGTCTTGCGATGGCATGCCAAGAAACCCTGATGGTTTTGCAATAGCACACCAACAGGACGAGCTCAATCATCACATTTTTTAAGGTATCCATGTTGGCAAGCTCAGGTCAACATTGTACTTGATCTTGTCCATGGCGTTTCAACAACCCGCGACAGGTTCGCAAGGGTACCTGGCAGGAGATTCAGACCATCGCGGTCACTGCCGCGAACAACCTGTTGGCCGTGGACAACTCCTCGTATTTCGTTCTTTCCTTCGGGGGTGAGGTGACCGGTCCTATCTTGGCCAACGGCAATGGAAGCTGCGAGCCCGCCGTTTCCGAGATTCAAGTTATATCAACGTCCACATCGGGTGAGGGCAACACGCAGCCTTCGCTGTTCGTCGGAAACTGCCTAGCAGGGCCTGTGTTTCGTTAGACTACTCTGCTTGTAGTATTTGCTGCACGTGGAGAGAATGACTGTTCCCGCGACAAGCTACAGTGTATTGCCGGCGAGTTGTCGCATGATTTGCAGTGCCTCTGTCACCAACAGAGAGTAGCTTGTTGGGCCCAGAATTCGACTTTTCAACCAATCTTTTTAACAGATACTGTTGCTTGGGACGATTGCGACATTCGCGTTTTCTTGCCAAACCTCGAACCTTGCTCCGTGGCCCTAGAAACTGTGACTAACAAGAGTGGGTTCCGGACGCACGCGTCCCACCCTATTTGGAGAGTTGCGAACTGGAACGATACCCATGCTGTTTTCGGATACATTTTGCAGGAAACATACCATATGTGCGAGGGCGGGCAGCGTGCACAGGTTCCACAGATTTGCTGCCGATACGTCTCCGTCCAACGTCGAAAGCGCAAACCTCGGACCGTGTGGCACTACTGACGCTTTGCGCCCTAGCGTAAGCGGTCTAACTGCTTGTCGTGCTGCTACAACCCGCAGATACTACTTCTGCGGGCGGAGATGCGCACGTCTCATACGGCCTAGCTTTCCAGCTGGTGTTCTACTCCAGAGACGGCGTGGTGACGTTGAGCGACACCATTGATGCCAACCCTGCGTTCGGCGATTGTTCCGAGCCTGCAGGGTTCATCCAAGACGCTCTAAGAGAGGTGCTTCCCACAGGGCAAACATCTGGTTTGCTGTGTTTTTTTCGAGCGCCCCTGTGCCTTCGTCGGGGTTACCCTCCAATGCCGTTCTCGTGTGAACAATAGACGGGGTAATCCAGCAACATTTCCTGACCATAATGGAAAACTACCTACAACGTGCATCATATTGCCGTTCAACTAGCCGCGTTGCATTCAAGTGCAATGACAGAAACATTTGCCGTGGTGGAGAATGTATTTGCATTATGTTCGTGTCAAGCGGCAGCATCTACTGTCTCGGTTGTAATCTCCCAAGTACTTGACACCCTTGAACATTCCGATGCCGTTTAGTGTACGGAGATTGCATGGATCGAAAAAAACAGCGGCGTGGATACAACAAGTACATTCACATCGGTACTGCTACACACAGGTGGAAGGACTAAAAGGCGTTACTGTCAGCTCCAATAGCACCAGTGCTGGCGATTCTTGCGACTGGTTCGTGACCTTCACCGACACACCCGGAAATCAGGACCAGGTAGAGTGGGTAGTGGATGGCTGGGAAAAGACGGCGGATAATAAAGTACGTCTTCGGTTTGACGCCACTGTCAATATCAATGCTGGTAAGCGCATTTCCATCATCCGTGAGCTTTAGTTGAGAGTGCACGGTGCTTCTGAGAGGTGACGAGATGTTTATGCCTTAGAGTCGTCGAACAGATCAACGTTCTTGAATCACCACAGGGGGGAGAAAATCAACCACGCCCTCTTCTTCGCAGCCTGACCCACCATGGCAAGCACAGAGGCAGGTGTCAGTGCCAACACACTCTTCAGAAAACGGCAATCATCTCAATGCAGCTGCTTGTTAAACAACACATGAAAAAAAACGTCCGTATTTTGAATTGGTACACTGTGGCAGATGGCTGTGGTGATCGACACCGAGGGACCGGCGTCTTCGGTAACCTTTGGGGATGACACCGTGACGGTGGGGACGCTCGTCAACGGAACCGTTGACTCCATCAAGCTTGAACTGGAACTACTCCCGGCCGTTGGCGAGGTAAATCCGCGCGCTTATCATCAACGCGCCCATGTCGTCTTGTACCAATCACAAATTGCAACCGCTCGAACCCGATGATGCCCTCTTTTGTATAGAACTATGCTTGGAGTCTGACACTAAACTCAAAGCTTGGTTGTTCCGTATCTGTTTTCAGTGTGAGTTTTGGCCATCTTCTCCCATCGTTGTCGCAGCTCTTGTGCGACGTCGCCGTAATGACATCGGATGCAATTTCCTTTCCCGCTGCCACACGTCTGTTCTCGCTCGCGGTATACCCGTAACCTCATTGCTGCTGTATATTGCACTCTGCCCCTGTCCACGACGCATGTCTCCTTTCCCCTGTCCTCCTTCAAGGTAACCGTTCACGCTCGAGAGAACGAAACCATCAGCGAGACATGCACCTGGGACGTAGTGTTTGAAACAAACACGGGGCTGGAAGGAGAAAGTGGCGAACTGCCCCTGATCACGGCTGCCTTCTACAACATCACCAACTCGAGCTACTCCGATCTCGACACCACCGTAACACAGGTACCGACACCACCGTTGGGCTGTGGGAAGATGCTCACTTGGTAGCTTTGCCGTAACGATCTATTGTAGTTTGCGTACGTATTGCAATGTTGGGTGGGGTGTCGATCGTTTCTCGTGCTCATGACGGCCCTCTGCGCAAGATCTCTCTGTTTGCATCGTTCCTCGTAAGTAGCTCATCGAGCGGGCATCTGCCAACTAGAGAAAAAAACGTTGAAGAGAGCTGTGCGCACTATCACGGTCTCAGCCATCTCCCGGGCATCTTCATCAATGGTGCTCTCGAAAATGACCCATCCCAATACAGTACAATTAGAATTGGCATCGGAAACAGACTATCAATAACATGTTATCCTAAGCCTGTGCCTTCGGTTTCCGGTAGCGCAGTGCATCGAAGTGAGATTCCTTGGTCGGCACGGCGTGATCCTTTCACGTGTTTCCCATGCAGGACATGCACGAGATAGTGGTCTCCAGGAACCGGTCTGGAACTAGCGTCCACCTCGGCGGAGATTTCGCCCTGTCGCTAGATGGGTCGAGGTCTCAGTATCTCCCCAGTAACGCATCGGCCAGGGAGGTTAAGCTAGCCCTCGAGGCGCTTGACACTGTGGGGACAGTGGATGTCGAGAGATACGACGGCGACGAGGAGGTGAGTGAAACGGTTCTCTCCGGCACTTCTCAACACGGTCCTGATTGATTGGATCATTTTTGTTGAACCCAGTCGCAGTGTTTCCTTCTGCGAAATCGTCGAGCGGTTTCGCCCACCACATATTCAAGAGATGGCCCAAGACTGTTTACCAGCAGCAACAAACGACAACGATGTTTCGGTGGAAATGTGTAACCTTCCTGTGTGTGTCTCGCCGTTTGACTTGATACCGCAACCCGGGTTCTGAAGAGTCTGCATCGGATACACTCGTAGGTGTCGCGAGCAACTCGTTGCTGTTCACGGTGGCATGTGTAAGCTACGCTTCATGCGTAACGGCGAAACGGGGCCGGTCCGGAGCATTCACAATAGTCGTGCCTAGCGCTTGTCCGGTCGAACAAGCTATGATTCTCAACGACTGCGACTAGGAGTTAATAACGCTGCTAGAGGCAGTAGCAGCCAGGGCTTGGTCGCCATTGCACATAGCCTAGCTACACGCCCAACTGAGACGCACAGTTTTCACGCCGCCCGTCAAACCACCATTCAACGAATTGTCGCGTCAACTCCCGCTGTGCTTTGATAGGTGTACGCCGGATACACGTGGATAGTCACCTTCAACACCGACCTCGGCGACGTGAGTAGCCTCACCGCTGACACCATGTCCATGACCGGTTCAGCACCTGTCCTCACGGTTTCTGAAGGCGTCAAGGGCGTGGCCCCCTCCTTCGCATCCCTGGATCCCTACAACTCCTTGCCCCTGGGCTCGGCCACTCTGACCGACCTGTCAGACTTGTCTATGTCCGTGGCGGGATTGGAGGAAGGGGTCGCGTATTACTTCCGCGTGACGGCGTCCAACTACATCGGATCAGGTACGGCTTTGTTGTGGTGCTTATTGTCGTCTACGCTTTTGTTTGGGATCTGATCATCGCTTTGCCCCCATGGCTTTGGATATTGGTGTCGTCTTCACGCTGACCATCGTCGCCCCGCCTTTCTGGTTGTGGTTTTTCCCTCTTGGATGCTACTGCCATTCTTGCTATCGCCCTTGCTGCTGACTTTGTATTTTTTTTTATTGTTTCTGCCATGATGTCCCTTGCAGGGCCTCCTGCGGTGGCGGAAACACCATACGCTATTCCTCTCCCGCAACCCAGCCAGCCCCCCTCCAACATCACGGTAGAGGCAGTAGATGGCAGCACCCTTAGAGTGGACTTCAGCCCTCCTTCCTCCACCGGTGGAGAAGAAGTCGACAGGTGACACGCAACACTCGCTACACGAGTAGCACCGGAAATCGAGAGCAAGTTGTGATACAGAGTGTGTGTTTTGAAGACGCCATCGTAGCAAAAGGTCTGCAGTGCCCTTCAAAAGAAGGAGGTGTATCTTCAATCTTTTCTCGTCCACCGGCGACAATCGCCGGCAACACGTCTATGAGAGATGAACATCACAAGTAGCAGGCGTGTAACAAGAATCGCATACGAGGGAGAATTTGTTTTTCCTGCAGGGTTTGAGGAGGTGCCACTTTTTTGTTCGCAGCCACCATCCTGAAGCTCGACCATTCGTCCGGCGTGCAGAGTCCGATATGTTTCCTCCCCCCAAAGGTCCGTAGCCCTTACCGACTCCCGCAGTTCTCCTGGCAAGAGTGAGTCGCCCTGAACCGTCACAATGCGTTTGCGACAAACTTACCTCGATGCGCTCGCCCGAACCAGCTACCGCGTGGAGTACTCGACGTCCCCCTTCTTCGAGGAGGCCCAAGCCCTGACCGTCTCGTGCGAGTCAGAGCCGGAGGTGCAGGTAGTCACCACCAACGCCACCGCCGTGCCTGAAGTCCAGCTGTTGCACCTCAAGATGGACGACAACTTTACCGCCGACTATCCCGGGACCACTGTATTTGAGGTCCAGGCAAGTATGACTCAATAGGAAATGTGGTGTGGCTCTCAACGGTGTGTTATAAGTTGAAGTACAGGATAGTCGGCTGTGCACATGAAGTGCGTTTGGTTCATGAGAACATAAGGGAGCGATGAATACTGTCGCTGCGGGATGTACAATGTCCACATGGTACATGGCCTACATCGTAGCCGCATGCCGAGGTCGTTCCAACAAACAATCCCGAGCCCTGCCCCGGACTCAGAAGGACCAACAAGAGCGAAAGTCGTTGATGGGGTTCACACTGAAGCACACGCCCTCGCGCCAATTTGAGGGACGTCTCCCCAATGGTCCAACTTCAACGGCGAGCAGTAATGACTTTGCCCATGCCTTCAACCTTCGAATTGAACAAACAGGAAGTATCGTGCGACGCTAGCGCGGGCACGTTCACGCTGACGTTCGACGGTGCAGAGACAGACAGCATCAGCTTCGACGCCGATGAAGCCGAGGTGATCTCCGCTTTGGAAGAGATCTCCACGATCTCCGAAGTCAACGTCACCTTCAAAGACGGAGTTTCGCAGGCCTGTCAGGCCTACCCCTCGTCTCTGGGTTTCAACGTCACCTTTCTGGAGGCGGTTAACTACCGGGGAGATGTCCCACTCATGACGTCAAACATCGACAACCTAGAGGTATGCACATCAGACGCTGGCCGGACCATCGTTTGCTTAGCGTTGAAATCAGGCATCTCATGCGTGCTGCCTTGAGATACGCACCGTTGGTTGGGTGAAACGTGATATCTCCTCGTGGCGTACTATTTGTCGAGTTCTAGGTATCCGATGAAGCGGCGTTTCTATCTTTCCGATCATCAAGGGGGACTCAGGAAGGTCCAATCATGGTTCTCAACCACTGAGTAAATGTGCCTTCTCAGCAGTTGGAGACATTTGCAGCTTGGGGAAGGTCACCTCGCCCGTCGGTGCTCGTTCATATGCGACAGCGACGGTAGCAGTTGGAGCTCTGCAGCACACAGCCAGCCCAATTAGCGCGGAGTTTTGAGAAGACTGCAGTGTAAGATGTTTCGACGTTCTGCATTTCATCCTACGTTAGGGAGCTCGGCGCGCGGACGTGACGGAGGTGTCGAAGGGATACGCGAGCATGGGAGGCACGTTCAAGCTTACCTTCAACGGACACACCACGGATAGCATCAGCTACAACGCCCTCGCAGCCGATATTCAGGTAGAGTACACCCGTTACCTTGGGGACTGTCTTAAGCGTGACTGTAGCTTTAGTACGTCGTTAGAAAGGGATCGATTCGGTGATAGGCTGGAGTTCACAGAATACCTGGCAAGGCTTGTAAGGGCGAACTGTCAAAGGTGTTTCATTGGCTCTCTCTCTTTCTGCGTAGCTCAAGCCTGTACGGCCGTTCCATGCACGTTCTCCACGACGTCCATCCACTAACCATGCCGAAGTTGGAGCCCAAGGATGCGATTCGAATGATGGCAGTTGCAGGATTGACATTGAACCCTCGCAGCAGCCGATCTATCTCCGAACTGCCCAATATGTTTTTCTCTGTGACAACCGTGCTTGAACCGTTTCCCCTTCACTACATCTTTGGGTTGTGCGACTCACGTCGAAACCTAGGCGGAGCTCGAAGCCCTAGACCCGATCGGCAATCTCGGCGTCAACGTCACCTCGGCGGGTCTCAGTGCGCAGTACGAGAAGATGTGGCGAGTGTCGTTTGTCGGCTCCACCGTGGAAGGCGATGTGGAAGCGATGCAGGTGAACCGTTCAAACTTACTTTTCCACTCGTAGTGACACAAGAATGTGCTGTTGTTTGTCACAATACATTGCGGGTAGGTACCTAACTGTGTCGCTTTTGGGGGTTGGTCCGGGAAAAGATGAAAAGTGAAAGTTGAAGGCGTTGTTTCTCCACGCGGGAAAGTCGGGGCTGCGTCAGTGGTGCATCGCAGTCGTTTGAAGCTCGGAGGCTTTGCCGACGTGTTGGAAATAGCGCGATTGATGCCAGGAAGCTTCGTCAAAACCATCACTACGTTAATCAAAGGAAAAAATGTGTAAATATTTAGAATAGCTTGGTCTTGACGTTCATTTTCTCGACTCCGTTTTTCTCATGACTACTGTTGCATGCGTAGTGTCCCACGTGAACGTTCATTGGAAATTTGTAGAAATTCAGCAACACCTTGTCTAAGTTTGTATAATTTTGATTTCAACCCGTCGACAAAGAGTCGATTAATTCACCGCTGAAGTACCAAGGTTCAGGTTTGTGATGCTATTCGTTTCGCTTGCACCTTCGTCGATTTTTGACGTTTCCTACATAATGAAATTTGTCACGTATTATTCAGGTTCTGGACTACAACACCGCCTTGACGGGCAACGGTGCTGCGGTTGCAATCTACGCGGATGGAGAGGAGACTTCCTCGGACAGGCGAGGCGCAGACCCCTCGGTTGTCGGCAACCAGCTGTCAGGCACCTTCACGCTCACGCTGAGAGGATGGGAGACAGAGGTAGGAGCATCTCAGGGCATCGACGAATACGGACGATAGCAATACACACCTTCCAAGTTGCAACGTACTTTCGAAGAGCTAGGGCAATATTCTGAAACAGAAGAAATAGTAAGTCCGGAGGTTTTTGCCAGAACGGCTCGGCGAAGAGGAATCACAGCAACTTTGTTACTACAAGTACTGGTCATGGGGGGTTCCCCTCGTGTAGGATCACGTGGCTTCTCCGGTGTCAGGGTGGCAACAAGCAAGGGTGGGCAGACACGGCTACGACCGCATACAATGTTGAACGTTGATCAACGGACAATCTGTGTTTCGACTAGAGCACAGAGCCCTGAATGCGGCTGGCGCAGGTGGGCATCATGGTGTTTCGGCATGCTGTATCCAAGGTTAGAATGTAACCGGAAACGTCGATGAAGAGCACCCCCAAATTTCCGGCTTCCAGCCCATAGCGCATGCTCATCGACTACCTGCTCTAACGCTTTCGCCGTGTCCCATAACTCTCAGAACATCGACTTCAACGCCGCCGACACCGAGATGGAACTGGCTCTTGAAGCTCTGCCCAACGTAGGTTCTGTGTCCGTCAACCGCAAGGGGCCCGACGGACAACTCGGTTACTCTTGGTATGTCACGTTCGTGGAAAACCCTGGATCATTCCCAGCGGGGTCCGGGGACGTAGCTCTCCTGTCTACGGATTCTTCTTCCCTGGGTGGGGAGGGGGCCTGGTGCACGGTGGAAGAGATGTCTGCGGGCACCCCGGAGCTGTCGGGAGCGTTTATCCTTGCGTTTACAGCGAGTGACGATGGTGGCAGTGGCGGAGTGACGCGCTACACGGACGAGCTGCCGTACAACTCCTTGGCTGAAGAGGTGCGGCCTTTTTGGCATTGGTCGTACATGTTTATGTGTGCCCTCCGACCTGCCTTGTTGTAAACGATACCTTGAGCTGCGACTCTCCAATATCAGTGCTACGGGCGACTCAGAGACTCACGACGTCGTTAGTACGACCAGACACGCCCTGAAACAGCCACACAAGTCACACATCGTGCACAGAACGTAAGGCCCTGACTTCAATACTACTGACGGGTGGCCTATTGCCAGAGACATACGACGTGGCATGCCTTTGATTCCACCACTATTCCAACCGCAACTTGAACAAGCATTGCCTGCTGGTAGCAATCAGTACTACACTGATCCGTTCTTGTAGTATGTGTCCGATATTCTGCGCGTCAAAGCATCACTCGTAGCACCCGATGGTAAAACACGAAAACACCGCAATAGGTGGAGGCAAGCCTCGAAGCCCTGGACGAGGTGGGCAACGTGATCGTCACGCGGACGACGCACACCGACGGTTTCACGTGGACCGTGACCTTCTCATCCTGCCGAGCAAATGACACATCCGGTGCCGACGTGTGCAATACCGGAGACGTAGAGCTTATTTCCTTCGCGGCCAACGGAAGCCTGTCCGGGTGTTACGGCGGGAGCGGGCCGGCGTCGTCGTCTATGGTGGTGGTTAACGGGTCTGCCGGGGAGGAAGTCGACATGGTGGATCTTTCGGACGGTCCCCCGTACAGGTGGACCACAACTTGAACTGCTGATTGCAAAGACACAGGGGCTGCTTGTAGAATAGAACCGCTGAACGCCACACAGCAGATAACATTTTTGTTTTAGTGCCGGTTCTTGGGCGTGCGAGACGACCCTCCATACAAAATTATGTTGTACTTGGTTCTTTGTGCTGGATTCGTTTCCCACACCAGGTATAACAACTCGCAAGGGTAACAATCGTTGTTTGCTGGCGTCTGTCGCCGCCACCTCTGGACATCGCTGTCGTGCCTTTGGACGCCGCATCGTATCCAACAGGTACGACATTACGGGATTAGAAGCCGGCACCGCCATTTACGCGAGGGTGAGCGCCCACACGCTCATGTCCTACGGGTACGCCGGCCTGTCTAAGCCAGAGTTCGCGATTCCTTCGAATGTGCAGCCAGGCCCCCCCCCGGCCGTACGCCTCGTGGAAACCTCCGAATCATCGATCGCGGTTGAGTGGGACCATCCCACCGTGGACGGAGGGGTAGACATCGCCGGATACGAGCTGTGGATGGGAGAATGGGCGACTTCTAGTTTCCGGCTTGTGTACGACGGAGTGGATGACGAAGATACTACGTCCTTCACTGTAGCCACCAGGTAAAGTGTTGCATGGCACATCAGTTTCGCGGAACATGTCACCGGACGATGTTGATCCAGGGGAAATTGTTTTGCCCCTGGAACATGTGTAGTGATAACGACCCGTGCCCTCGGTAGAGGCTCGGTAGAGGGTAGATTTTGCAGAGAGAACAAGATGTATGCTGTTTTTGTGGCCTTCGTCGGCGACAAATAAGTGGGTAAAAATTACCACACCAACCTACCTTGAGTTACTCAAGAAAGTTCACTAAACAGCGCAGCAGTTATGCTTAGAATAAGGGGGAATTCCTGTGAGGCTGTCCAAATTTGTAAAACCGTCGACCGTATCAACATAACATTCCGTAGACAACCACGTTACATACGTGTGCAACGGTACTTCGCCGCCACCTGCCCCCCAACCCAACGGGAGGTTGACCGATTATCCCGGATATTCTAAACATAGAGTCTGACCTATCACCGTTTGTGCTTGCAGCAACTTCCCCGAGCTGGAGAGCGGACGCGCTTACCGTTTCAAGGTGCGGGCAGTTAACTACTGCTCGGCGGTGGACACGGGCAGCATCTGCTACGGCGACTTTTCACCATCAACGGCCTACACTGTCAGGTGACATCAGTAGCTGGGACTGTAGTCGTGCCGTTGTTTGGTCGTGTGTCGTGGAAACGCTAATGGTACCCGGCATCCGAGATAGAGAGTGTAATGTTTGGGCTTGTGCTAGAACAGCAGACAGACGCCGAGTGCGTTTGCAGCGGACGCCAGAAGTACATGTATGCCAAGCACCTCCTTCTCTTTGATGCGTGCGTTCTGTGTCGTCCATTACTCGTTTTTCATACAGGGAACCACGGATGCCCAGCGCGCCAACACAGCCCCTTCGGGATTCTTTAACAAACCTCGGGACTGCTGCGAACGATGACGCAGAGGTGATTATGATGGTGTTGCCATAGGCATTCTCTTCGCGGGTATTTACGATTGCATGGGTTGCAGAGTAGTGCGAAGTATTTGTCGACATGTGGTGGTAGATTCCTACGCTGACGTAGTGACTAGGCGTAACGCTATCTTATGTCCGTTTCCTCTCACGCCACCCCAAATCAGCCTATATCCGTAAATTGTAGCCTCTTAACACTTCTCTTCACATGGGGCTCCACCCACCACCCTTTGAAGACAACCTGGCAAATCTGTCCCAAACGAACAACAGGTAGGGATCCTGTGGTCAGCTCCCATGGACAATGGAGGCTCCGAGGTGCTGAGTTACAAGGTACGGTTCGAGGACCAGGCCGGAACCCTCACCTCGGTTGATATCGACGCCCGGGACGTGTGGGGGCCCCAGGACCTGCTGGTGTCCGGCCTGTCAGAGGGGGAACTGTACACGTTCTACGTGCAGGCCGTGAACGCGTTCGGCACGTCTGGGGCTAGCCCTGCTCTCACCGTCGTTGCAGCCCTCCGTTCAGGTAGGATATCGTCACTAGAGACAAACCCCCGGTGGCAAGCACAGAAGAAGAAATATGTATCCATGGCCCGCGAAAGAAAGTACCGTTTTATCTCCGTTCGTTTACTTCTGTAGTAGGGTTTGGCGTACTCAAGGCATGGAATGGCGAGCTGGTCCCGATGGTCGTCAGGATCAACCGCTTTCACCTTCGTCTTATGCTAGTCGTCATCAGGTTGAAGATGCAATGCAAATGGGAAACGCGGGTTGATGCCGATGACTACGTATAACCGCTAGCCTCACCCAATATGGGGGTGGTGTGCACCACTGTTAGTATGGGGTGTAACCATGTGGTTATATACGAGGTGTACATTGTCCCGGCGCCACCTACTGAATGATTTCACAATCTTTCCGACTCTCGTGAAACGAACCCTGACCATCCTTCTTCCCAGGCATGGCGGTGGGGGGTAACCAGACGTACGCAACCGTTTCACCCACGGTATTGGCGGTTTCATCGAGCGAGGTGACTCTCTCCTGGGCAGCACCCGTCGACACTGGAAAGTCTCCGGTCACAGGGTACCACGTCTACATGTTCGATGGCGTTGGTCTCAATTCTCAGGTCGACCCGGAGCCTGTCAAGCATGAGATTCAGGTGAATTGGTGATTCGAAGCTTGGCCGCTTCTGTCAACGTGAACGGAAATCACGTTCGGGCCGGTGTTCACTACCACTTACAACTCTGGATGGCCACTTCGACGGACAACCAACCCTACCTGTACCCTCCACCTCCACGTGTGCTTGCCTTCACCGCAGTTGGTGTCCCTCAGTGTAGATGACCCTGTGCCAGCCATCCAGGATGTGTCGATATCGGACGTGGCCGGTGGTACCTTCACGTTGAGGGTCATGGCCGACGCTCTCGGAGGAGAGATTGATGTCGAGACGGCGGAAATTGGCTACAGTGCCTCCGCCGCCGCTGTCGAGCTCGCCCTCGAAGCGGCGTCTAGCGCGCTGGGTGACGTCGAAGTTGTGAGGACCATTTCAGGTGACTTGAAACGTGTGGCGATAACTCTCGATTTGTTGCTATCACGTCCTCCACCTACCGCGCAAGGGTTACCAATCTGCATGGCTGCGGTCACATGAGGTACACCATACTTCGCAAAGCGCAATCTGGTGGGGGTGTTCGTAGTTTTCCCCCAAAGATTGCCTCACATGCCTATTCTCACATCAGTGACTGCCGGCATCGCGTCGAACGAAATTACAACGTTTAGAGCCAGCCTGAGCTACTGCACGTATCCCAGACCAACGGGATATTTAATTTTGAAGTCAAACGTTTTTTCGTCGGTCTGCCAGGCACAGGAACGACAATAGTATACGAGATAACCTTCGACGGATACACTGGGGCTGTTGAGGATCTCGTCGTTGACACCACCGAACTGGAAGCCAACTCGGGGGCAGTGGTCGCTGCAGAAGTAATCACGGTGCAGGAGGGAACGGAGCCGCTACGGGGGGACTTCTCGCTCATCTATCGGGGCCACGAGACGGCCGCTTTGAGCTATGATGCCGACGCTACCGAGGCAAGTCGCGCAGCAGTCCATACGAAGCGTTTTCTGGGCCCGAACGTGGGCCATAATAGCTTGAAACGTACAAGGAGTTCCGCCGTTCATGCTTTTCCAATCGAACCGTCGTTCCGCCACGGCGTTCGGAAGGCTCATTGTCCACCAGGCCGCTGATATTCGCAATGTATACATTGGTCAGCTTGTTTTCGCAATGTGAGTCGCTTGCGATCCAACCACGAGTAGAGGTTTGGCATGAAGCACGAACTGCAACAACCTGTACTTCCTCAGTGAAAGATTCCCATTGACGCCTGAGTCAATGAATTCCGTACATGGCGCCGTTCCCTGGATTCTTGGTCTTCCCTATGCCTCTTGCTGGATGTTTTGCCCGACATCTCGCTAGTAGACAAGAATGACAATCTGAAACCTATCTCACAAGAACGGTTGTTTTTGGCATTGCACCACCAGGTCAAAAGACAACTGGAGAACCTGGACACAGTTGGAATTGTCTCGGTCGAGAGGAACACTACCTTCTCTGACGGAGCGTTCGAATGGATGGTTACGTTCGAAACGGAACTTGGGGATCTCCCCATGCTGGAGATCACTTCGGGAAGACTGACGGGTAATTGCGCTGGCCTTGACATGCAGTCAGATATTCAGACGTTTCCTCGGGTATTTCTTGGTGATCGGCATCTACGCTAGTTCTCGTGGTGCAGATGCTCAGTTCCATTCATGTTGTTTTTATTCCTTGGTGTGGAACCATTGTCCAGAACGCACAGCATGCGTGTTCTTGACAAGCCCAACGCGGTCGTAGTGGCGGGCATCTCTCGTACTTGCCAGTGCTAGAATTGTTTTCCGTTACTCTTCTTCTGACCCACGCATTGTTCAACGCGTCCTCTGCGCCTAATGCAAAGGTGGGGGGCGTGAGGCGACGGTAACCGAGACCTTGGCCGGGTCGGCAGCCACCCTAGTCTACGACGGCAGCGGCAAGCCCTCCGTCAAGGAGTTCACCGCCTCCGATCTCGTGGAAGACTCGCTCTATGCCTTCAAGGTGGGATTCTTTGGGTGCTGTTGATGGTCGTCCTGGCCTCAACTCAGTAAGGTTCGTTTGAGAGGGTTGATCGTCCGATTCAACTTCGCGTTCTGACGGTTATGGAGGAATCGCACATTGTTTCTGCCAACGCGAACATAAATATATTCTGCTAACAAACCGATGTACAGGCAGCAGTCGGTTGTTGCTCCACGAACTTGCGTGACCTAAGCGATCTCTCCCTGCAACCGGTACCTACCCTCGCTTGAGCCAGGGCAATAACCTTTCTAATGCATCACAAAGAGCCACAGCCAAATCAACCTCAACCCTGACACTGACAATAACATCGAAAAGAGCAACAACCTCATCTTGGTACGTATTAGGTGGTGCCCCTCAGCGTAGTGGGACGCGGAATTCCGAGCGCGGCGAGCCCTACGGTGGTAGCCCGAGAGGGAGCGGTGGCAGCGCAAACCGTAGCTAGCGGGCCCTCTCTAGTTCAGGGTATGGCCGGTGTCGTCCACGAGCAGCAGACAGTTACGGCGACGGCAACGTCTGGGAATTTCTCTCTCAGCGTCTCGGGAGGCGACATGGAATCAGTCTTGATCAGCGCCGATGTCACCAGCGGTAGCGTCGCATCCGATGCCGAGATCAGGGCAGCCCTCGATGGCATTGTCGGGGAGGTGAGACATAAGAACGATGAACCGAGCTGGGTCGTTCGTGGTACAAATGCGATAAAATCTTGTGCCAATGATTCAGTCTAAGGTAGAGGTTGAAGTGGTGACCGATTGTGGATGGACGTATGCAGAAACATGACGGAGGTGTCGGGATCAACGCAACAATACCACCAACTTGACACGACACGCAACACGGCTCAGCTCAATTGATGGCGCCGTTGTTGTCGGAAGAGATAGCCCCAAGGACAGCGTTAGTTCGAGTTGACCATGTCTCCTTTTACCGGGCAGTAGAAATAAAGCTTTTGAATATTTAAGTTGACCACGCTTGTTGGAGGTGTATTCGAGCGAGATGGATTTTCTCGTGACTATTGTCACATATTTACCTACTACAACAAGAGACTGGGAGAGAAGTATGCCCAGTGATCACAGAGGCTCGTCGTAACGCCAACCTCAATGATATTATCGGATTATCGGTATGATTGGTCATTTGAACATCGACGTTCCTGGCATCGCGCACACAGGTGAACGTTTCGAGCTTCAATGCTTCTCACGGCGGACAGCAGGCGCATGCCTGGACCGTGACATTCATGTCCATCTCCGGAGATGTTGGAGAGCTCCTTGTCAACGAGACAAACATCCTCAGTGGCGATGTTGCCGTCACCGAGAGGGTCAAGGTGAGCTACTCTTTTCATTGTAAATGTACAATATCGGTCTCAAGTGTCCCAAGACATTAATGGAACAAACCGTGCCATTAGGCGAGGCTGATGTACTACTGTAAACTCCGCGGTGAAATGCAGATGTTTCTCACCATGGTCATTGTACAACTTCCCTGTTCTGCTGCTACGTTCAGTCGGGCTGGCCCGGGTTTCAAATCTGGCTACTCTCGTCCAGTTTGTCTCTGGCCCGAGCACTACTTTGCACCCATGTAGCCGTGACGTATTTCCTCTACCATTGTCCCCGTCGCTCTTGTTGCTTCCCTACGCACACTCTGGTTACCTCTCATGTTTCGCACGTTCTCCCGTCCAATGTTGCCTTCATCCAGGGCCAAAGGAACGAGTTTGTCGTGTCTCCTCGCAAAGCGACTGGCGCACCGGTCACGGACGTCACGGCCGCCTCTGCCTTCGCAGCAGAAGGATCTACATATTCATTCGCAGGTGAGACAGACAGGCCGACAGACAGACAACCACACAGAGAGAGAAATACAGAGAGAGAGAGAACGGGGGGGGGCGGGGGAGAAGGCCGGAAACACAGTTCCCACAACACTGCGTGCCATAGCTTCGATCATCTTTACGCTACGAAAGTCAACATTCCGACGCACTAGATGCATGTCCTTGGTTGGAGAAGTTGGTAGTGCTATTTTTTAGGGTTTGGCATGGTTCTCATTCGCTGATTTGAACTCGAAAGATATCTCCGCTGCCGTGGCTACAATTCTATCTCGTTACGCTCCCTCGCCATGAGTCTCCCGCAGATACTACAGTCTCTATCCCGTTGGTCGAATCGTTGCGCTGAACATGAAGACCTCGCCAACATCGATCATCATCTTCGTCCATTCCCGACTGTGAATAATGTAGGTGGCGACCTGTTTTTCACGGAGTTATACAAGATCGAAGGGGATGGGTCCATCGAGTGGGAGTCGGACGGAGGCGTGGCCATGTACAACCCCACCGCCTACGAGACGCAGCGTCTGTGGATTCCTTCGGGGTCAACGGGCAGGTACATACAGAAAATAGCACATACGTTCTTTGAAGATCTAGGGCAACTCGAACTGAATCCGGGGCTTCAAGCCCCGCAACGTTTCAACTCGCGTCTTTGTATGTGTATAAATATCTTGCAATTCATCTGTATGGACAATGACGTAGTCTTTCTCACAATACTCGGGACGAGCAGGCTTTCAAGGATTCGCACTTGTTTCCAAAACATCATGTTCCAAACCTACGGCGAGCGACATCAAAGCCATTGTCCCCTAGTGACCAATTTTGCCTGTTTCTTGCGTGCATTTGTTCATCTGTGTTTGGCATTTATAAGCTTGTGCTTGATGTTTGAGTGGGAGAAGGTCACCTATACAACCGGCAATGGCACTGGATGCCCCGAACCAGATGGTGGTGCCATCGCGCTCAAGGTAAGAGCTGTAATGAGAGTCAGTCCGCCAATCCTTCCAACGATGATAAAGGCAGATTCCACTTGAGATGCCGTCGCTGCTGTGAAAGGTTTCCGAGGTCAGGCTACGCTTGTTAAGTTATATTCAAGCACGGGTCTGTTGACGTCACCGAAGATTCGGACCCTGTGGTTCGTGGTTGAAAGGTCGAGTCCGAAATATGAACGGAGAGACGTAGGGAACGAGTCTCGTAGGCATTACTGTGTTTGAGTGCGTTTGATTGCATGTGTTCTCAACGTTCGTCCAAGACTCGTGGAGCACTGCCATGCCGGAACAGAATATGAGGCGACCGGGCATGGAAAAGTGACGGGGAGTCGCGCATATACTTTGGTGTGAAATTTACCTCTGGGATATGGGCCTGGTTCATATTTGTGCTGGTGTTTTATTGACTTCCCCAACCCAACTTGCGTCATGTCGCTGTTGCCGTTGACCCTTAGGTTGCATTGGAAACGATCGATGTCATTGGGGAGGTGGATGTGGCATACACTCGCGAAGAGGACAGCGATGCCCATGTCTACGATGTCTGGTTCAAGGTACGATGTTTCATCCTTCAATCTTGGATCACCACCGGTATCCCAATCTCAGTGTTTATTACCCGTGGCCACGGGTGGAACGTTTCTTAAGATCCTGCGCCATATTTTCAGGTATAGCGATTTCCTGATCGTTGATGACCTCTCGTACAAACTTGGCTGTGTTTCGGCGAGATGCCGTCGTGTGCAGGAAACAGACCAAACTACACTGTACGATGTGATCGTTCTCCGCAAACGGAATACGTTCGTAGCGATCAGCAACCTCGCTGCATCATACACGATCATACCGAAACTACTGCTGCGCCAGGGGTACCTTGGTCCATTTCGTCTTGTCTAGATGGTGGTTGAACTACTATTTCGTCCTCAATATGCACCGTTCGCTACCGGATTTACCTCTGCGTTGCCATCTCTGACGCCGACGAACCATCAACACCGACGTCAAACGAACAGACTCTCTTGGGCGACTTGCCCCTGCTGGAGTACGACGAGTTCACAACCGACCCGCTAGTGCCGGGGCACATCAACATCACCGAAACCTCTACGGGTGTGGCAGAAGTGCAGAAAGTGGTCATTTCTTCCGACGCCGGGTTTGTTAGGGAGGTGCAAAGCCTGTCTTTGACCGCAGATGACGCTTCGGTTGATGTGTCGGGTAGCTTCAACATCACCCTATCCGGGGCGAGCAACACCGTTTTGGTGCCTTTTGACGCCAACGCCACCGAGCTCGAGGTAAGTCTGCTGTTCCCAAGCCACCAACGTTTGCTGTCAATGCCACTCATGACATGCTTGGGCGTTTGGTTGCAGCACCTCAATGGATGCATGCCTTGTGGTGCCGCTACTCTCTGTTCGGTAACCATGGGGATAGACCAAGTGACGTTAGGCTTGCCTCACTTCCTAAACGCCCATTGTTACCGCTTTGCGTGCTGGAATCGAGGGACCTGATGCTTGTGTTCAATGCTTGTGGTATCCCTCTGTCTGGAAGAAACACTCCGCGTATCGAGCAACGCCCTGTGTACGTACGAGCTAGGTCTTGTGCTTCAATCGGGTTTGTCGACCCTCCCTCTGTCACCCTTGGCGCGAAAGCTGTGGTACCTCAGGACCCGAGCTACACTATTGATTTGGAACCTCTCAAATGGTTGCTACACCTACGATTTGGAGACATCCAACTGGTTGGTGTTTTCTGCCCTGCGTCCTTCGAGAGAGCCGCAGCAAATATAGCGAATATGGTCTACAAATTGGTACCCTGTATGACATCCCCAGAGAGTGCAGCTCAACGCAGGCTGTAGGTCGATGTCAAACACTCAGATTATACCGGTGATCACTACCGCGTGACTTCGAAAATATCCTAATCTGGGTTATATTTTGGATTCTTATTCAATCCTCGCAGGCGCTCCTCGAGGAGCTGAGCAACGTCTACGACGTTTCTGTTTCGGTCGTGGACAAGTCGGGCGGGAACTCGTCCGTTGACAGCTACATGAACGCCACCCTCTGGACCGTCGTCTTCAACGATCCCGTTGGCGACGTTCCCAGCCTCCTGGTGAAGAGCATGTGTCAATAGTTGCCGTTTTTGCCACCTGGTATGGCCACCTGGTGTTGATCCTTAACCCCATTGGCTCTTCCACTATAGTCCCGTATTTCTACCGCCGATGGACGTTTAGAATCATTTCACTTGAGAGGTGTCTTTTCTGCTGTGCGGCGGTGGTACTTATGCTTTACATACGTGGTTATGACATACTTGCGCCGAGGCGATTTGTCTGAGTGAAGACAATGAGAACCAAACGGAGGTACTCGCACAACCTCCGTACTGTATCTAGATTGCGGTTTAGCTAGGCATATTTTTTGAACTGAAAACCCCGTGGGATTGTCAGGTGATGGACTCGGTTCTGTGGTTCGGTACCGAGTTTGTTTGGTGGTGGTGACGTATCTTTTTTCAAAGTTTCATATGGGCTGCTTGACACGCGAGCGCGGTTAAGTTGCGAACACTCCGACTGTGAAATTCTTCGAGTGTGTGTGAGTGAGAAATGCTCGTCAATTTTTCAACCAACGACAAAGAACGCTCTGCTATTGACAGGTGAATGGGTCGAGCTTGGGTGGCAACTCCCCGCGAGTAGATATCGTGGAGGTGGTGAAGGGCGTCTCTCCTCTTGACGGCACTGTAACGCTTGCCTACCGTGAGGGGTTTGCCCAAGACCTGGCTTTCGATGCCTCCGAGGAAGAGGTAACACACCCCTCAAGAATTGCATGTTCTCGACAAGCAGTTTCATGCGATACTTCACATGTTTTGGGGTGTATCTGCATGAAAATCAACTTGATTCCGTATGAGCTTTTCCTCAACGTGTCCTGCTGTACAGCGAAATACAGAATTCTGAAGCTCTCTTTTTACGTCACGATCCACTCCAAGTGAGTGTAATTTGCTTGCTTTTGATGTTTGTCAGGAAGAGACAAGAGAAGAGCACCTTGCTTGTGAGCCCCAAGCCAGCTATCAACCCTTCCGTCGATCACTGCGGTGCCCTCACGTTATGCCAGTATATTCTATTGTTGGCCTCGTGCCATCCCGAGCGAAGTCTCCGCCCATGTGTCGTTCCACGATTTGATGAAACTTCGCTCCCCGAAACGCGTCCCTGGCAAACAAAAACAAATCATTCAGATCAAAGCAACCCTGGAAGCATTGGACACAATATCCACCGTCTCCGTCTCCAAGCACAACATCGGTGCCGGCTTTGAGTGGTGGGTGACCTTCTCTGGAGAACTCGGAGACTTAGAACTCCTCTCCGCCTACCCGTACTCCTGGGAAGTTCAATCTCTCCGCACCTACGGGGGAGACCCCACCCCCCTCGGCGGTTCCTTTTCGGTGGAATTCGGCGGTTACACGTCCGGAGATCTCCCCTACGACGCCTCCGCGGACGGTTTGAAGGCAGCTCTGGAGGCATTGCCCGGGCCCGGGAGGGTGGACGTCGACAAAACTGTTTTGGAGAGCGGTAGAAATGAGTGGTTGGTGACCTTCAGAGACCTGGTCGGCGATATCGAGCTTATCGCGGTGGATGGGTCGGGCCTCACCGGCACTTCGGCTACGATTGAAACCACCGAGGTGGGTATATAGAGTTTCGATTTCTGCAACCATGGTGCTTACATGTTCTTGCCCCAACGTCTACTTCCTACGTTATACAAGTTGAACTCTTATAGACACCAAGAATACTTATCCCGTGACAGTGCGTACATATGCGCACATGAAAACGGCTGTATGACATCACTCTTCGTAAGAGCAGGAAACTGTCCTGTTTTCCCGTGGTGAAGCCACCGCGATCCTAACCCTCCTCCCATCCTCACAATAAACGAAATACAGATTGCCGCTGGGTCTAACAGCTCTCTGACCGGAGAGTCACCCGCCCTGGCGGTGGAAGAGATGCATTCCGGGAGGCCGAGCTACACGGCCAGCTATCACCCTGTGGGCACTGGACCGTACCAAGTGGCGGTGACCCAGATGCTGCCGGGTGGGCTGAGCGCGACCTATTGGGACAACCAGTGGCTGTTCGGTGCTCCTGCCGTTCAGAGGGTTGATGCCCAAGTATGTTGAAGTCTTATGGTGTTGCGGATTTCGGTTCTCAGTATCAAAACAGATCATGTCGGTTTGTTGGTTTCTTATACGGGGAGTTTGACCCGTATTCCCGGTGATCGCGTCTCGAAGTGCGTCGTAACCTAAAATATGTCTGGACAACAGCGAAACAACGCCAAGTTGTTCTGGTACTCGTGCTTCGGTGTAACCGTTTTGCGAACACTGTCTACCAAGTCGCCCAGGTAGGGCGACTTCCAAAGACGCACAATCTTGAAAGCGGGCACCTGCTTCCTACAACAGGAAGGACGAAAATTCATTAGCAGCGTGAACCCCGATTCCGCTGTATTGCAGGTTGCCGCTCCTCCTAATTTTAACCTCGAACGTGCAGCCCAGTAATCGCTCAAGCGATCAGGGCGATCATTCGTGGCAGAACCAGAGCGTGACACCAAAACAACTATTCGCACTGGCCAGGTCAAATTTAGCTGGGGAACTGGCGCTATCACCCCGTACGGGAGAGACTACGTGTCTGCTAGGTGGCGTGGAAAGCTTCTGGCCCCTTCGAGCGAGACCTTTACTCTGTACGTCAAGGCTGACGATGGCGCTAGGCTTTACGTGGACCATGAGCTCGTCATCGATGCTTGGGAAGGTAAGTTTCTTCGACAACGGCTGCCGTGTCGCATGCCTCGCAGAGATAATTGTGTCTTACCGTAGCTCGTTGTATATTCCGAGCCTCGCTTTAAACACCGGCCCAAGTGCTTCATATTTCTTGCTTGTGTTGAACATGGCGCTGTATAATACTGAAACGAGTTGGCGCTTGCTCCCTATGCGGCACATCGACCAGGTGTTTTGCCAGGGGCCATCGAGTACCGCGCATCAGTAGACCTTGTCAACGGGACCTTCCACGACATCGTGCTAGAATACAGGGAGAACGATGGTGCCGCCAGCATCCAGGTCTGCTACGCTACTGCTATTTTGCCGTTGCTTTTGTTGCTGCTGCTGTCATAGTTTTTAAGGTAGTGGGTTGCACTGGTAATGCTGTGCCTTTGCTACCGTTGCGAGCTTGTCTTTAGCCTGTGGTTGAAATATGGAGTCCACCGATTAGCCCGTACCGAGTGGGCGATCTCTCTGGGGATAGCAAAGTCGAAAACAGCCCCCCGATTCGACGAAACATCACGTCTCTTAGCCAATAACAACGATTGTGGTCTCTCCAAAGTCTCCTGCTATTACTTCCCAGCTTTTCAATTTACAATCAGAATCAGAGGATCTCAATCGGCACATCCCCGTCATCCATACCCCCCGCCCTCGGTAAAACTCCGGTGTGCGTGCAGCTCATGTGGAGCAGCTACAGCACTGCGCCGGCGGTCATTCCCGCGTCCGCACTGTTCTACACGACGCCTATTTCGGGCTCGCCGTACAACATTTCCGTCGTACCTGGGGCGGCCGCCTATCCCTTCACCGAGGCCTTCGGGGAAGGGGTAACGACCGCCTCCGCGGGGGTGTTTGCATCTTTTGTCATCCAAGCCAAGGTATTATTGTTGTCTTCACATTATGCGCACGTGGGGATGCTGAAAAGGCTTACCATCTTGGGGGATTTGGCGATTGCGATTTATTGTGGTCGATGTCCCTGGAGTGTAGAGGTGTTGCCTGCTTGGAGGGGGCTAACGAACGCCCTGGCCAAAGGTATTGTGCTGACGTATCGTGCAGACCCAGGTACGATGCTCGACTGCGTTGTAGCTCAACTCCTATTTTTTCTTGGATGGTGCCGGTGAGGTGGAAGGTCGTGCTTGTTTTTGTCTCTCTGCATGGGCACTGTCAACGAAAGTCTGCAAGCTGGAATACTGGAATGAAGAAACGATGAGGGCATAAACGTACAAGGGGTGTTGTACGAAAATACACCCTGTTTGCTGCCGTGCCCTCTTGATGCTCGTGGGTGTTCAATACGTTTTGGGCTAGAGCCAGCAACATATAGTTCACAATCGAATGCGCACAGGTTCCAGGGACAGTCCCCAAATACCCATACGCCTGATGGCCAAATAGCCATCTTTTAGCCTTTTTGAGACATTCTCTCTCTGTGCTTGGGGGGCGGTGCTGGAAAGTTTTCTGTTTTGCCCCAATACGTATACCTTTATGACTCTGCCCGTTCTCAGGATGCCTGGGGCAACAACGAGACCCGCGACGTGGCGGACGAAGAAGGAAGCGCTTTCCAAGTAGAACTTAGCTTCGGGTCACGCACACTAGGACCCAGCACCATGGGGGCCCCTGAGTATATCGGCGATGGCGCCTACAGTGTCAGCTATGTGGCCACGAAGGTGAGTTAAAACGTTGTCTATCAGGGAGGAAGTGCTTCTAGGGACGACGTTGTTGAGAGGGCGTACAGGGGGGGAGGGTGGAGCTAGTGGAGGAGGGCGAGATGATGATGATCATCCATTACCTATTCGCCACAAAGCAAGACACTTGCGACCCGACAACAGCGGACGCTGGTCATCACCTCTGGAGGCGCTAGCGCCAAGCGCGACGCACCCGATTTGTCTAGCGTACGTTTGGTGCTTTCTACTTGTTGCTCCCCACTTTCGATGAGTACAAGGGCCTGATGAAAGGCATTCTTGGCTGTTGTTCCTGTTTACCCTAGCACTAAACCAATGCTTAGGGACGAAAGGTACTGCCGAATGGCGCCTTTAACGTCGAATACTTTTGGTTGGATGCACGGTAGGCCGGAAACTACAGCCTATCCGTGAGGACAGCGGCTGGGGAGCACATCTACTGCGGCCTTGCTCAGGAACATGCGTGCTCCCCTTTCGAGGTTGTCGTCTCACCCGGTCCGACCACAGCTTCCACTTGCGAAGCCGAGGGGGACGCCTCTCCTGCCATGGACTCCCTAGTAGAAGGGGTTGCAGGGATGACGGGATACTTCAACATTCAGGTGACACACGCGGACATACCTTCGTTGCTTGCTCTCGGGCTATTTGGGCGAATTTCAGCACAATATTCTGTGCATGCCGGGAACTATTTTGTGTATGAATCGCTGAGCTGCGTTCCCAACTTGCAGCAGATAATCTGTTCATCGACATGTTTTGGGTAGTTCTGGACGCTTCAATATCCTGACGGATGTATTGTCGGCTCTTGGACACATGCACTATCTCGTCGGCTGACGGCTATGCGCCTGCAAAAAAACATTGCAACCTGTGACCTCCTGAATAGCGCTCGCCATTGATTTCCTGGTTGAAGTCGCCACATGGTGTATTGTGGCGGATTCAGCTCAATGCAGTTAGTGTGGCATTTTCTGGTCCGTGCCCAATCCCATGTTATTCTCAGCGCTTTCCAACGCAGCTGCTCAGTTGTCGAGCCACTTGTACACACTCCAAGCCCCTACCATTGACACCCACGCTGGCTCGTTCGTTGTCTGACTTTCTCAGGCGAAAGACACTTTCGGCAACAACCGCCTTGAAGGGGGCGACGAGGTCTCGGTTCATGCCGTGCTATCGGAATCGACGACATCGTACAGGGGGACCGTCGTTGACAACGCTGATGGAACCTACCTAGCAGTCTACACCGTTCCCCGGGCCGGGTGCGTGTCAGAACGGTTTGCAGACACTGGTATATACGTAACTCTTGTGAAACACCGCTGTATCGGAGCCTCTGGGGTCTTGTGTATTGTCTTGCTACAGTCGGAGTGTACCTTATCAAGCACCTCCAGCGAGCAATGGCTGTACGACGTGCTCATCGCCGTGTACACTGTCCACGGACAGCCAACACCAAGCAGCACGTCCATCGCAGTTGCAGGTGTCCTTCCTGGTCCGGGTATCCTCCGTGGCCATGAGGAAGAGTCGTGCCTTCTCCTCCGATCTCTCTTCCCTTCCTCCTTACTCTCCCCTCGTATCATCTCTCTCTCTCTCTCTCTCTCTCTCTCTCTCTCTCTCTCGCTCTCTCTCTCTCCCTCAAACCGCCATTGATGTCGCTTGCTCGCTCTCCAGAACGTACTCCATGCGAGTGACCATCGGAGGCGAGGCCGTCCAGCACTGCACCGCTCCCGTCAACAGCAGCACCAACTCCGTGCTCAGCCGCGAATACGATGGTATCTCGGTCTACTCGCCGCCATCGGGGTGCTCTCTGGACTATCCCACCCTCACAGTGGTTCACGGCGACCTTCACACGCCGAGCTGCACTGCGGAGGAGGTCGCCAACATCGGAGACGAGGGGCTTTCGAAGGCTGTCGTGGGTGTCCCAGCCAACTTCCAGGTTGTTTCCCGCGATGCTTTCGGGAATATCAGGTTTGTGATTGCTGTTCTTGTTCCTGTTGCTACTGCCGCTGCCACTTGTTGCGATGATCTGTCGAGGCTTCTTGCTGTCGTGATGTTTGTGGTGCGCTTTCGTTTTACCACGATATGTCATGTTTGTGCGAGTATGTGCACGAGTGCGTCGTTTGCATGGAAGTGTAGAAGAACATCGTGCTCCATACAATTTTCGATTGGGATGCGCTTGTCAGAGATACTTTCCAACTTCTGCCAGAAATGACGACTCCTCCAAACAATTGGAGACAACTGGAACGGGCACTACTGGCTATCACACGATGACTCCACTCAACACCCTTGCTCGCAACGTCATGGGTGTTCAATCAACCCAATTTCGTTCTTGCCCCACTCACACCGTTACATTTCAGAACTGGCGACTCTACGACGCACTTTGGGGGCTACGGGGACGGGAGCTCCGACGTTTTCATGGCCACCCTCTCTGGCGCGAACGGCTATCGTGTTACGACTTCTTCTGCCGTACAAATCGTCACCGTCACGAACGGAACCGCGGAAGGGTAAGCGTTCGTCGCACGTATGCTAGAGCTCAACCGACTGGGCATGAAGAAAAACACATCTGGATTACTCCTTGAAGTAGGTTATCCAGGCAATCCAGGCAATCCAGTCAAAGCTTTCCCGTTCCAAGGAAAGGCAGAAGAGTAAGAATTTCTTCTCTGCCACAAGTCTTGGTCTACTTTCTAGCACAGACCCTTGCACACTAGAGGTGTCAAGCAGGTCTCACACAATTGCGTGTCACATCCTTACGCATATCCCGCCGAACAAGACACTACCGCCCTTCGCTGGCCATATTATCTATCTCTCTCTCTTCGTGCATAGATCTTTCCGGCTGTACTTTGCCGGGTATGTATCCCGAGAGATACCCAACGGAGCAAGCGCCGCAGAGTTTCAGGCGGCTTTGATGGGCATCAAGCAAGACCAGGCCACCGCTAGTGGGGGAGAGGAGATCGTGAGCGCGACGGTATCGCTGGATTCGGATGTCGATTCTGGTGCTGTGGCGTGGCGGGTAACCTTCCTTTCTCACCTGGACGTAAGTGCTGAACATCTCGGGGTATGGGCATTAGTTGTAGGAACGCATGAGACGCTATCAGACTGATGATGAGAAAATAATCCTGACGGTTCGATTTCTGCTAATGCGGCGAACGTTCTCGGCTGGTCGGTTTTGTGGCTGTTGCTAGTCGACTTGTGTATCATTCATGCACTTACAGAATCTCTGAGCGCACCAGCATCATCGACGCCACACAATGCACCACCAGTGTTGCTAGACTAGTGTATGGCAACACGTCCCTTCAATGTCGCGTGTCTTTACGTTGTCCACTTCGATGCCCCCCGATATACCATCTAGATACCCTCCTTTTTCTTGGAAGGACGAGGCCTAAGCGCTGCTGCTGGCAGTACCTCGCGTCTCGACAGCCAACGACAACCATTGTGTCGCGTCGACCTTATCCTGCACGTACACAACCTGACGTGATCAACGGCTTTGTTTCCGCTGCGATCGGCAACCAACGCCACGGTGAACGCAGGAATGGATGTCTGATCCGCTTCAAGTCATGGCCGCCTCAGACGGCTCGACGTCGATCAGCGACATGATCACCGTCAACAAGACGGCGTCGGGGGGAGTGTACCCAATGAAATACACCCTCCACTACCGCGGCACGTATGTCATGAACGTCACCGGGGCAGACGGCCAGGTGAAGGGCGACTTCTGTATGTTGAAATCGTAGCATGCGAGGTCTTGCATGTGCAAAGTGTTTTCGAAGCAACGGGATAGGATAGCGTGCGTGTCGTGTCGTAGCTATGGTTTCGTTCCAATAGCCCGCAGTATCGTTTGTTCGTGTAGAGCCAAAAGGCAGAGATAGGCGCCGTCGATGTCTGCTTGCTCGTTAAGTTATTCTCAATAACCCCCTGGTGCGTAACCTTTCGTCGTACCTATTGCTCGCTATCACGTTATCGATGGATACGGAAACGCACCTTCGCGGATATATAATTACTTTTCGTCCTCCATGTCATCCAAACCCTTGCTGTCAGAGCTGCTTTGGCATGCTCTCCTTTGCACCGCTCGAGCACGTACCGCCATTGTGACACATTTGCACCACGTACACGTGTACCTGCATCACACCCCGTTCCGTTTCCCTTCAGCATATTACTGGGTCGAGTTTCTTCGTAGACACCGAAACCAGCGACACCGAAGCATCGTCCTCCACCGCGGAAGGCATCGGGCTCTCGGGAGGGGTGGCGGGAGAGCCCCTGCGCTTCATCGTCCAGGCCAAAGATGAGAGGGAAAGAGAGGTCCAAGCCCTTGTCGCCTGGGCGGAGGTAAAGAAGCTTGATTGACCCTTTGACAGCTCTCGAGGAAAACGAAGCTTGTAGCAACGTTCGCAAAGGCTGCACAGCACCGGTTGTACATGCATTTATCCAGAACGGAAGGGTAAGCGTACAGAAAAGGCCAGTATCAGGAGCCACTTTCCTCTCTTCTTGAATGCCTGTGCCGTGTGCACAGTGTCTCTTCTGCAGCGTTCTGGCATAGGCCGCAGTCCCTTCCATCTGTGGGAAATGTTGTGGAGGGAGCTCGCCACATATTCCTCGTTTCGCATGGATTGGGCGTTAGTTGGGTGCCTCCCTCGGCGAGGTGTCGCGTTTAGTCTTCGCATCCCACTCGTCGTTCACGCTCTCGTCTGCTCCTCACTACTTCTACCATTCTGTGTATGGCATTGAATAGGTTGTGGATGTCGTGCCAGAGGTGCAGAGCGTCGCTCTCCTAGGAGCTTCGGCCGAACCTGTCTACTTGTCCTTCCTGGAGCAGAACATTACTGTAACGATCGGCACAGACACTCCGGCGGACATCCAGGCCTCCCTCGAGGCTCTCCTTACGGTAAGTGCGCAGCATCCTCAGTTTCGTCGTAGCTTTAGGTATCAAGTACTATTTGTCACAGTCCAGAGTCCCAGCTCTACACCTTCCTGTTGAGCAGTCTTCCGTCATCAAGAGCAGAGACAAGCCATGGAAGTAATCACGGTTCACCCAAAATACCCCCGGTTTGCTACACTGCCGCCGTCACTGCGATCATCTGCACAATTGCCGCATACCATTGTGCCTCGTGTGGTAGGATTGACAACCACTTTATTTTCATACCCTGGTGACGGCTGACTCCCAGATCGGGACTGGAAACGTGGAGGTCACCAGCAACGTCGGACCATCGACAGCTCTGGACAGTGGAGACACCTTCGCCGTAACCTTTACCGGTGTGTACGGGGATGTTCCCCTCCTTACCCCGGTGCCGTCGTCGCGAGCGACGGTTACATCGTCCACCGAAGGAGACGCCCCCTTCCGAAAGGAAACCCAAGCGTTTTCTTGCACGCTTGGTGCTACGGGGGACCTCGTGTTGAACTGGCGAGGATTAGGGAACGTCACGGTGGCGGCGGACGACGACCTCAACGCGTTTGAAACTGTCGTTTCGTCGGGACTGACGAGTGTAACCGTCGTGGGGAGTGACACAACGGCGGTCTGTTCGGGTGAACTCGTGTACGTCACCTTCCAAGAGGTGAGATCACAGCGTCATCGTTGTATGCCGAACCACTAAAGCAGTGATTGTTTCCCTGTTGGCACGGGGCAGACACAACAAACAAATCAAACCCTATCCAATCCCATCCAATACACGAATCCGGGCAAACAAGGAATTTTGCCCAACAGACGCTCACAGATTTCTGCAGTCCAGTCTTGGAAGGGCGTTTACCGGAATCGAAACCCCAATCCTGGCACAATGGAACTGTTATTCCAGAGCGTGGGTGTATGCCCGCATTCAAGGGGTGAAAAAGGTTGGATGAAGCTGCGGCACGTGTTCGGGGAAGCAAGACCTGAACCGAACGTTTGTGAGACGATGGAGCCGATCCAGGGCCTTCCAAAATGTCTAAGAGAAACCCTTTTCCTGTCCCTCCCCCCCTCTCCCCCAAATTTCAGGCCCGCGGAGATTTGCCTTCTTTGTCCTTCGCACCGGCGGAAGCCTTTTCCGGAACCGTGACAATTTCTACAGCTGGATCGCTAGAAGGGATTGCCCCCCTGTGGGGAACGTTTGAGCTGGGGTACGGAGGAGAAACGACGTCTCCTCTCTACGCGGATGCCACTGCTGGTAAGCTCGGTGCTCCAGGCGCAACAACGTCTTGAACCCTCAAACATATACTGTCGTTACAACCGTGTTCGCACGTTCACATATATGACGTCCGTCTGACCAATGGTCGAAGGAGGGGATTTCCTCCATTCCACAACACGTGTCTTCCCTGCCGCTGTGCTTCCCATATTTTTTGTCGTATGCCACGTTCTCGATCACTGCACCTCACCACGCAGATGACGTGAAGGCGGCCCTTGAAGATCTCTCTACCGTAGGAGGCGTTAGTGTAACGTTGGGGCACATTGGCCTCTCCCTCGGGTCGGACGGTACTGCCTTCCCCCCGGGAGGCGATGACAGCGGCAACGACAACGTGACGTCTCTCTTCCCTGTCTGGACGGTCACCTTCGATGGAGAATGCTCGTTCGAGAACAACGTGTGGACCTCCTGCCCAGCCAACATCGGTGATTTAGAGGTATGCGTCCCACGCCATGCTTCGTTTTGAAGCGACACGGAAATGTGTATCCTCGATATGAGTACACCAACGTAGCGCGAAATACCGTAAGTTCAAAGCTGCCCGCTCGCTCCCGTGGGCAAATTATCCCGCCTGGGTACCCCATACATGCAGGGGGACCCTGCTGAACAAGGCGGTTGTTGGGATCTGTTGATGACAATAGACCATCAAGCTTTCAGCCTCGGTATCGCCCCTCGTCCCCTCGTGAAGACATCTAACGTTTTGAAGTTGGGCAAGGAAAACCTGTTGTACCTCACGTTATTTTCAATTACATCTGGCCATTAATTTACGATTGGCAGCGGCCTCTTCCTGCCCATTTAGCAGCGCGTGTTCCAGTGAACAAGCAGGGTTGATCCCATGATGTTGCTAGCTTTCGGATAACGTTTACGCGTGGTGATACCGTAGAACACCTAGCGTTAGGGATCACTTCCAAGGCCATTGAGTAGACTCGACATGTCAAGGCGACCACCTAATATCATAGCACACTTTTTTTCCCCCTCCGCACACACGAAACGTCGAAGTATCACGCGCTTGACACCAACGTTGTCCCATCGCGCCTGTGGTGTGCTTAATACCCCAGCCGCTTGTGGTGGACACGTCCGGATTGGGATGGGAGGAATCTCCTTACAAGCATCAAGCACCTCCCGAGATTCGAGTGTACGAGATCACCAATGGCACCGCTGGCAACAATCAGGTACATTGCCGACCTGACGCCACAAGAGATGCGTATTTCTAGCCTCCGACGGTATTTGAGCTTCAACCAGAAGGTATGCGTGTTGCCCGCCTCCGCTCGTACATTGTTTGCTTGCTCGTGTCCGGTTTAGACGACGAAACTATTGTTGAGTAAGGGAGTCTCCGAAACGGCGATCAGAGAAGCCCAAACCCTAACTCACCTTTTTTGGTGTGACATCAGGTGGACGAGCGAGACTGGAACACTCTGGCTGTGTCCCTCTTCCTCGAAGACAACAGCACCGACATCGCGGCTATCGGCATGAACGAGAAACAGGGATTCACCTGCCACACGGAGGCGGGGGGATCAAACTCGTCTGCTTACGTCGTACTCGAGTTCATGGGGCAGAGTGCCACGATCAAGGCTAACGCCACCATTCCCGATCTCGCCGACTACATCAAGGAAATGGCCCGCGACGCCGGCTTAGCCAACTCGGTGGTCAACATCACGTCTCCTGCGGGACAAGCAATGACGTGTGGAATCCATGGAGATGAGGTGGGTCAACGTTGCAGGGATCAGCATCCTTGAAACATTTACAGGCACACTAACAGAGTTTTAGTTGCGCCTACATTGAATCATCAAAGTACTTGAAAGCCTTGAGGTTAAGCGGTTCGCCCCATTCCATGCACGGTAGCAGTCACATGTACAGTCGGCTAGGGCAAGATTTGCACCCGTCCGGAGCACAGCCAAACTCCAACCACGTATCGTGTCAGATATTGGTCGAATCGCTTGTGACTGTTCGGGCTGCCATCGCTGGTTTCGTAAAACACAGTGGATCGCCGCCGGACCACACGAGGTTGCCGTTGTCGAGACAACGTACGACCACGGTCATTGTACGATCACGCATTCCCCCACATTCTCTCTCATGCGGCAACCCTGTCTGTACCCTGCAGGTGGTTATTGAGTTTGCCGCCAACTACACGCTACCGGAGATCGTTGTCACGGGCTACAACGGGGTTGCCGATATCAACGTGCGCGAGATCACCAAGGGTATCAACTCCATTTCCTACCTTGGAGGGGGCAGGTGCAACTTCTGAATGAGTGTTGCTGTTAATATAGCTGCATCTATTGTATGCATTCGAAGAAAGCCGAATTTTGACCGCAGCTTCGCGATAGTGTCCTTACTGGCCCGTCTCCCATCGCACCCTTTATAGAGAATTTCCCCTCAAGCCAAACGACACCACTTAACCAAATTTCTTGGTCCCTTCTCCTCTACGCTCCACGAACCTTCGTGCCTGCACAATGCCGTGCTGACCCCATACCTCCTGCTGTTCTTGAAAATGCCAAACCCGAACCTCAGTTACCTGGTTGAGTACACCCCTGTTGTCGCTGGAAAGTACTACCCAGTTGTCACCATCGCCGACGAAGAAATCTCGACCGACATGTCCGGAGGGGTTACCGTTACACCGGCCAACGCGTCGGCGGTGACGTCCACCTTTGCCTCCGATCGGGTGAGTGATATTGGCAGAGTTTGTGACAGTGGCGATGCTTCGTGACCGCCATGAGACATCTTGACTGTCAAGCAAGCACCTGATTCGACCTGACTAGCAGGATTAAGATGCCAAGCATACAGTGTATTGTTGGTATCTAAAACGTATAGACAAGATAAACCGAAATTGCTGCGTGTTGAGCACCATCCAACATGGCGTCTGTAACCTCAATACATCTACGCCTCCGGCGCTTCACGTACATATTAGGATGGTCCACAACGCTTGGAAGCTAACGATTGCGAGACGTATTTCCGATAGGTATGCGGTTGATATGCCGGACCCTCAGTTGTGCCCCAATACGATACTCCACGGGGGAATCACAAACCCGGCCTCTGCACTTTGCGCACAGGTGGCTTTCCAAGGCGTGCCCCACTACCACAGCCTGGAGATCCGAGACCGGTTCGGAAACCTTCTCGACGGTTACTCAACCGATGGAGGCTTTACCGCCACCATTATCGGTACCCCTGACGCTCGCGCCGGCGTGGCACCAACAACGGAAGAGCACACTTCCCAAGTTACTATCGCGACGACGGTTTCAGAAGTGACAGACGCAAGCGGGAAGCTTTCGGCCAATTTCACCCCCGATATCGCGGGGACGTACGTGATGAGCAACGAGTTCACCGGGCCGGGGGGGCTTCTGGCCACGTTTTTCCGGACCAAAGATTTCATGGATCCCGTACTTGAAAACTCGGCCTACGCGACTGAGGTGAAAGATTTTGTTCATGCTTGGTTACCACAAACCGTTAGCGTGTGGTGTTTCGAAATCTTGTCTTGCGTCCGGCACTGGTGTATCTTTGCCTCCTTGCCACACGCATCATCAAGCGTTTTTCCTTTCACCACCGACATTGCTTTGCCTCTGCTTCGCAGGAGCCGTACCACGAGCCTACTTTCTGCCCTTCTACAATGGTGGAAGGGTGTGATTCGACAGAGCTGGTGTCCAGCTTGACCCTGGACTGGGGGACCGCTAGTCCTCTGCAGGCCTGGCCTGGCCTAGGCTTCCCTGCAGACTACTTCAGCGTGAAGCTCGAAGGCTTCATCATGGGTCCCACTGACGGAACGGTTTCCTTCCAGGCCACGGCGGACGACTTGTTCCGGTTCACAGTGGACGGGGTCGTCGTGATGGACACCGTCTCGGCTGAGGGGGATGCCTCTACGTCCATCCTTACGGCAGAGGTGGACATGACGAAGGGAGCTTTGCACGCCGTGACAATCGAGCTGGTGGAGGAGCTAGACGAGGCATCGATGAGCCTCCTCTGGTCCTACGACGGCGCCGCGAAAAACTCCCCGACGGAAATCCCCTCGTCGGCTCTTTACTTCACGAGACACCTCGCAGGCTCTCCAGTTACCATCTCCGTATTTCCCGGGGAGGTGACCGCAGGCACTTCTTCGTTCGATGGAGACGGATTGGTCGGCTGCGTTGCCATGGAAGAGTGCTCCTTTACGGTCACGGGGCGCGACGGCGGCAACAACATTCGGTTCACGGCCGGGTCAGACGAGTGGGACGTGGCGGTGGATGGGGTGGGCGGCTGGGCCGCCGAGGGAAGGGTAGGAGAGTTTATCCACTCGGAAGACGCGCCTCTGTCTGCGGTCGTCGTGTCGTGGTCGCCCGAGGACTGGACCTACGTAGGGAACGTGACATGCGTGGCCGAAGAATCGTCCTGCACATCGCAGCGAGATTTGAGCGACCTCATACAGAGGAGCGACGCGATAGTCATCGCCGGGGAGACGCACGTGGTGGACCCAGACGTCACCGAGGCGTTTGAGTCTACCTCGCTGCCGCTGGCTTCCCCCTTCCTAGGAGCGTCGGGCCTTTACGAAGTCTTTAAAGTCGGTGACGACACGGGTAACTACACAGTTTCCTACACCCCGCTCGTTAGAGGTGACTACTCCGTGACGGTCAAGAAGCCCGCCGTTTGGGAAACGCAGCTGGTGCAGACAGTGGTAGAGGAAACGGGTGATGACCTGGCTGGCACGTTTACGCTGGCATACGAAGGCGAGATCACCGTCCCCATTGCCTACGACGCCATCGGAGGCGACGTGGCGTCCGCCCTGGGCAACCTGTCAGCCCTAGCCGACGCCAACGTGACCACCGAGACGTCAAACTGCTCCACGCCCGAGGTAACCTGCGCTTGGCTGGTGAAGTTTGCCGGTCTGTACGGTGACGTACCGCTGCTAGAGGCCGACGTGGAAATGCTCGAGGGAAACGCTGCCAGCGTGGCCATTGCGGAGGAGATCAAGGGGCAAGCCGCCATGGACATCGGTGGCTCACCCGCAACGATTTCTGTCGTGCCGAACGATGCCAGCGCCGGTCAAACGACCGCGTGGGGCCGGGGACTCTACGAAGCGACCGCAGGGGAAGCGGCCAGCTTCACGGTGCAGGCGCGGGATGCGTACCAGAACAACAGGCTCGACAGCCAGAACGATTCCGTGTTCCTTGCCCTGGCCTTCGCGCCGGACGCTGATCCCGCCGACGTTCCTCCGGTGTACGGCACCGTCGTCCCGCAAGGCGATGGAAGCTACAACGTATCCTACACCCCGACGTTTGCCGACACATACGTCCTGGCGGTCCTCATGTCTACCGTCGTAGAAAAGCAGCAGTTTTCGTTCATATTCGATTCGGACGCAGAAGCGTCTGGGGGTTTCACCCTCAGGACGGGGGACGGAGCCCAGCAGACAGAAGCGATTTCGTACGATGCAACCGCCGATATGGTGGCGTCGGCCCTGTCTGCTGTGGCCGGCATCGGACCGGTACAGGTTACACGAGAGGTTACATCGGTGACGTCAGGAGCGGCCAGCTGGTCGTACACGGTGGCTTTCATGTCTGTTGTGGGAAACGTCGAACAGCTCACCGTTGGCTTTGAGGACCTAGAAGGTCTATCGGAGCCTCCTTCTTTCACCACCATCACGGAGGGAGAGGCTGAGCACATTAAGACGACAGAGGCCTCTCTTCTCCCCGAGATCCAGGTGGTGCGGGTGAGCTCGACCTCCATGTTCAACACCACTCTTCTTGCTGACGACGGTTTCACCCTGTCGTTCAAGGGGCACACCACTGCCGCGCTTGCCGTCAACTCTTCCGCCCAAGAACTTGAAGCTGCGCTTGAGGAGCTGACCACCGTCGGTGGCGTCAGCGTCACAAGACAGGACGTGGCGGGGGCGTCTCTGTACGGCTTCGAGTATGCGATCGAGTTCGAGCCTTGGGGTGCTCACGACATCGAGCACTACCTCAACTACGGGGACATGCCTGCCATGGTGATCCAGCCCTCGTTCAGGATGGCGCTGCACAACGTCACGGCGAGAGTGTACTCCGGCGGAACCCCCAGCGCCGATGCCGCTATCACTCAAGACGGCGCCTCTCCCTTCGCTCCGGTAGTGTCTCCGGGCGTCGTGTCGTGGGAGGCGTCTACGCCTGTGGACGAGGACGGCGTGGTGGACAAAGACGGGTTGAGTTCGGCCTACTACGAGGCGGCCACCTCGTTCCAGATCGAGAGCCGCGACAGGTTCGGCAACCGCGTGTTCGACGGCCCCGTGAAGGAGGTCCAGATTATCGAGGTTTCTACCACCTTGGGCGGCGTGTTGGCCGGATCTTTCGAGGTGTCCTACCAAGGCCACAGCGTCGGACTAGACGCCGGCGCAAGCCTGGCTGAAGTGGAAGCCGCCATCGAGGGACTGTCAAGTGTGGGTGCAGTGACTGTGTCAACCGCGTCCGTTGTCAACTCAACAGCTTTCGGCGCCAGAACTGGGAGTGTTATCCCTGGCTCCCCGTACGTGACGCCATCTGCCGACGTGTCTTCGATACTATCGGAAGGGGACTGGCTCCGGTTGTGCGACGTCAACGACGGGTTCGTGTACGCCGTGAGCAGCGTCGATGCATCGTACCCTTACACCATCACCCTCGACACCCCGTACGGTGGCAACACGGAATCGAACTGCGAGATGTTCCGACAAGGCATGGCCGGCAGCGGCGCGAGCAGCTACCAGTACGTCGTCACCTTCGACTCCAACGTCGGAGACCTCCCGGCCCTGACCGTCGACGGCGCCGGGCTGACGGACGCGTCTTTCGGCAACGAGACAAAGGCGGAGGTAATTTCTTGCAATTGGCACCGCAGGCAGACGGTGTCGATCAGCGCCGACACGGACGTCAGCGGGTACTTTGTGGTGGAGTACATGGGCTTCCGTTCCGACCAGATTTCCCACGCCGCGAGTGCCGCGGATCTCCTGCAGGCGTTGACCACTCTGGAGCCAATTTACACCGCTGGTGTGGAGCTGGCGGAAGAGTCGTTGGCCGGGGGCCTGCGCACATGGCACGTGACTCTCGTGAGCGCCCAAGCCTACGAGCCGATCTTCGCGGACGGATACCTTCTGAACGGCACCAACGCGGCCGTTTCCGTCTACGACCAGTGTCCCTCGAGCGGTTCGGCCAACTGCACGGATAGTGGTGTCTCTGCTTTCGTCGTGGGCTGTGTCGTGACATCGGCGGCTGGCAGGGTGGGCTCGAGCTACACCGCTAGCCTCTCTGGGCCAGAGGTCGTGAGCGGCACGGTGGAACACACGAGCGATGGCCTCTTTTCGGCGGAGTACATCGGCCCTGTGGCCGGCGAGTACGAGCTGGAGGTGAGTCTATTGACCCACTTGGTTGTTGGCAGAGGAAGACGTTGTGTTGGGTTCGTGTTGTTTCGAGTGTATATTTGCCCACAGGACTGCACATGGAAGGCGAGGGTAGTAAAGGGGGTGTGAGAAAAAGCATCGTTCGCTGCCACCCATATTTTTATGCCTTGCATCTTCTCTTCGTCCACAGGTATCCGAGGCGAAGGGCTTCGGCCTTCTTGGCGAGTACTTCAACAACCGCTGGATGTTCGGAGACCCAGTGGTCACACGCGTCGACGCCAAGGTGGACTTCTCCTGGTCTGACACGGAAACAATTACGCCAACCGGGCAGGACTACATCTCGGTCCGGTGGACCGGGTTCGCGCAGCCCGCGTTTTCCGAGCGCTACGTGTTCACCGTGGAAGCCAACGACGGGGCTCGCCTGTGGGTCGGCGATCAGCTGATGTTCGACAACTTCGATGAGGTCAGAGGATTGAGTGTGTGTGCAATTGTGCTGCAATAGACTCTTGTTTATATATGGTCAAGTATGAAGACTGACAGTGCGCGACGGAAGTCGCTCTGCATGGTGGGGGCATGAGTATGAGTAGATGAGTAGAGCCTGCCCTCGTGACCTCTTTTTCCTACCTACCGTTCCCACCACTGATCCTGGTCAGGACCTCGGACGGAATGATACCGGTCTCATGTCCACCTTTTCCGCTACCACGGAAGACGAGCTTGTCGCCGGACGGCTCTACGCCGTCACGCTCGAATTCCGTGAGAACTACGGCGCGGCAGAGGCACATCTGCTGTGGAGTTCGGGCAGCCAGCCTCCAGAAGTCATACCTTCCAACAGGCTGTTCTACGCATCTGACCCGGTGGGGGACTCTCCCTATTCGGTCACCGTCTACCCCCACAAGCCATCTCAGCCGCTGGAGGTGGCCGTGGCCGTGGAGGCCTGGGACCAAGTGAAGGTTAGCTTTATGCCACCGGAGAACGACGGTGGCGAGGCGGTGGAGGGCTACATGGTGGAGTGGTGGTCGGCATCGACGGCTTCAGGCGATGGTGGCTACGGGAGCCCGGAGATCCAGACCCTGAAGATTGGGGGGGACGTCGACGGTGAGTCAGGGAGCGCGTGTAGCATAGACGTTTTCGTGGCGGTAGATGACTTACACTGGCTTTGAGTATGGTCCAGAAAAAGGCTTGAATGATGGTTTCAGCTTGCAGATGACGCCGGTACGTGAGGTAACAAACACAATGTGATATTACTCAACATTGCGGCAGTAGTTGAATTGGTTGCCCGGCTGGTTGATCAGTGCATCGACAACAAGACAGACCAATGTTCTCTCTGGTGCCAGTTAACACTATTCCCTTCACCTTCCTGCACTACACGATAGCTGTACGACAAGCGCGGGGGGAGTAGGTCTCCAATCCGAGTTACAGTTTCAAATAGAACAACCCTCGTGTCAACTCCAGGTGGCAACGTGTACGTGACATCCCCGGGAGGGTATAAGTACCCGAGGGCACTTAGTTGGGACATGTCTGCCGAGGACCTAAAGCTGGCCTTGGAATGGACATTCGACGTGAGAGAAGTGACGGTTTCGTACGCAGAGAACTCCAACAGCACGCGCAGCTACCGCGTAACCTTTGAGGTGAGCGATATCTCCAACAGTAGTTTTGCCATGCGTCGGGGAATTTCATATTTCCTAACAATAGGTGTCGTTGTTGCTGACAGTTGCGGAGACGCGGTGGTCTTGGCGATGATGGGGAAGGTCACACCGGTATGGTGAAGAGTCTAATCACGCCTATCTAAGCCTCACAAAGCCAGACGGTGTCAAGTATCGAAAGAAACGCTGGAGAAGAGAGTATTCGGTAAGGACCATGAGGTCATAAGGGTGCATAACCCTGACCGTTCGGTTGAATCCGTCCTCTGTATTTGTCATGTGTGTCCCCTTTCCCGAACTGCCTTTGGATCACAAATCACAGTCGGAGCTCGGCGATCTCGGTGCCATGGGCCTCGACTCCACCGACTTGACGTCCTCAACTGGGTTCGTACACTCGATCGTCTGCCACGATAGCTCGACCGCCGTTGCTCCAGGAACAGGCGGGGCTTCTGTCGGATGCCTCGGAGCCACCGATTCTCAGGTACCGTAGGTTGATTTTAAAGTAGCTTGTTCTCCTGTCCTACCATGAACTGGTAGATGTTACTGCCATTTCTTCCGTCCAACGATTTCGTAAGGAATTTCCTCCGTGAGATGGTTCGTCGCACGATATGTCCTGATCCACCTTTCAACGACGTTTTCATATTTTCCTTCTCATGACCTTGATCACGTTTGTTTAATTATGGTTCACCACGCCACTTCTCAAAGGCCGGTAATGCCACAGCGTCTTCGTCAACCGATGTTGAGATGAACGTGGTGGCTGGCGTGGATCCTTTCGTCTACGTCATTAAGAAGCTTGAGCAGGCTTCGTCCGAACCGGCTGGTTTCGACGTGAGGGTGTCCGCTCTAAACAGCGCCGGATACGGTCGCCCCTCCGTGACAGTAAACATCAAGGTGAAGCATGCACGCGGGATCATGTTTTCTAACGCTGGCAACGCTGATGGCGAGATTGCTTGTTTTCACCTGCTTGATTTCCCGACATGGAGAGACCGCTTTGTACAGCACACCGTGCCAAAAATCTATCCGGGCTCTGCTCTCTGCCTGTGTTTGATAGTCAAGCTCGCGAACGTCCCCAGTTTCCAGCTTGTAGATGCTGGCTCTTCTGGCACCTTCCGCCATTAGTGCTCACGACAAAAAAAAATAAAAGTGGAACCAGTAGAAGAGAGAGCTAAAGTCATACTCGAATCAATACTAGAACTTTTTGTCGCAACAGGAAGATCGGTATCAGGTTGTGTCGAGCCATGCATGAACTCGTTCCTGTCGTCTCTTGCTGCCTTGCTCTTGCCGCCTTGTGATCTGTTTGTGTCGCGGGTCATGTCATCCGAAAAGCCTGCGGACGTCCCCCTGGCACCTTCTATGGCTGAGGTGTTCCTGCTCGCCGACGACCCTTCGGGCCTACGAGTCTACTGGGCTGACGTCACTGACGACAGGGGATCGGAGGTGAAGGCTCGTTATTGGTGTCAACACAACCTCGACAGGAGGAACATCTCCCAGCCAAATTCGAAAACTTGGAATATCTAGCGAGTTCGGTTTCGACCAGGTTGGATAATTTAGATAAGGCAGCGGATCGCAACAATAGATCAGGACCGTGTTCTTTTGCGCTCTACAGGGCATGTGTTGGGTGAAAGCGTTGCTTGGAGTGACTTTCGGAATTACCATAGGCAATATGGCAAGAGTTTGGGCACAAAAAATGCTGCTGTTAATGTAGGCGTGATTTTTAGTAGAAAAGGTGGAGAAGTTGACCAGCGAAATAATGACGTGTTTGTCAGTCTTGTTGCCGTTGTTGAAGTTATGGATGAGGAGGATATTGGTGTTGCAGCAAGTGTGGTTCATCATACGTGTCATTGAAACCCCATATTAACACATTTCCAACCGGATAGTGGCAAAGCTGGAAGGCACATGAACACGTATCGCTCGCCGATTCCCTCCCACGATTGAGTCACGTTCTGTCGGCGATAACTTGCGGTTTGGGAACGAATCAAGCAGGTCACATTTTTTGTAGTTGACTACTCGACCGACGAGGACTTTGCCGTAGACAGCACGGTGCGGATTGAGGGCAAGACGACCTTCTTCCTCAGCGACAGGAGATTGGATAACGGCACTACCCACGGAGTCTACGAAACAGATATCACTGGCCTGCAGGTGATGATAAAAAGCATTATAGCCTTATGCGAAACGTTCCTTGTTTCTCCTGCCAAAGGGAGTGCACCACTTCCGTCGCTTGACCAGCAAGCATCAGGGAACTGAACCTGCTTGGCCCGCCTGTTGATGGCTGTGGTAGCGGTAAACTTTCTAAGCTCATGGCAAGGTTTCGCCAGCTTCAGTATGCTTCGATTGGCCTAGAGCTGTACACGAGGTTCGATTTGATACCTTTCCCCTGAGCCGACTTTATTCATGCTCGGAGGCTATGGCGGCAGCTGAGATAACACGGGTTGCTGACAAATTTTCTACGCCATCAACAGCCGTGTGATTCACGACCTCTCAAAATCCACCTCCTTGCCTGCTTCTGCTCCTCTCCTTCGTTTAATGTTCCTTTTCCACCCTCTGCGTGTGTTTCCCTCTCCTACTCCATTTCCCCTTCCCCGCCCTCCACAAAGAGCGGCATCCCGTATTTCTTCCGGGTGTCCGCATCCAACGCAATCGGGGAGGGAGAGGCCATGGTCACAACGCCGGCTTACCTGGTCCCGATGACGGCGCCGGACATGCTTGAGTACGGCGCGGGCGTAACGTTGTCGACCCTTCCCGCTGGCGACGCCGTGTCGGTGACGGATTCGTCGACCTCGCTGCACGTGTCCTTCTCGCCTCCCCCGAATGACAACGGAGATGCCGTGGACGAGTGAGTGTCGTAGGAACCACCTGGACCACGGGATTTCCTTGTTACTGTGGTGGTGGTGGTGGTGGTCCAATCATGTATTTGCTTGCTAAATTCACGAACTGTTCTTTTTGATGTGGAAGCGTGCCAAACATCGTAGCTTTCGTAGGGTGTGTCTTGGACTGTCAGTCACGTGTGTCGTTGAATCCCCTCGTCGTGCAAGCTGCTGTTGATGTTGGGTGCAGTGGAGTTGATGCTTGAAGGCCGTCACTAGGTTCATGCCACCACGTCCGGCTGCGGGCGCTTTAGTTGTGAGCATTACAAACTGCACACAATACCGGAGGAGTGCTTTTTCTGTTTCCCGACCTACCGTTATTCACTCTCTCCGTCCATCCGTTCTTCTGTTAATACCGTGCGTTATTTACTTCGCGCTATTTTCATTTTCCGGTTGCCTCCGAAAACTATGTCAGATACTTGGTGGAGTGGTGGATGGCTTCAGAGCCCGTCCGAAGCGAAGTGCAAGTGCTGCGACTGGCTTCGACGGCTGTGTCCGTTGCGAACGACACATTGACCGGAAATTTCCGGCTGTCGTGGGGGGGCGGCGGAGAGGAAACAGACTACCTACCTGCCGATGTTGGGGAAGTGGAGCTAGAAGCGGCCTTGGAAGGTCTACAGGACGTTCGAGACGTTCAGGTAAGAGCAAAAAGTTGTTATTTTCCAATTTTCAGTGTCTCGTCACCTGGGCAAGTCGAACGGATTCTTTTCTTCAGCGGAAATAGGCAAAAAATATGGCGCCAAGAGTTCTATATATCAGGTGCCTTGGATTAGGGGTAAATCTTCGTGACGCAACCAAGCGAATCCAAGGATGGCTCTACGCCATCGAACTTTCTATCCACATCACAAGCCCTTTCGATGGACGTCTGGAGCGGCGACTAGCTTCTTCTCATGCGAAGACGGTGCCGACCTTGCTCCTGACAGGTTTCCCGCGAAGTAAACACTGCTTCTGGGTACAACTGGTCGGTGACATTCCTGACCGACGTGGAGCCGTCCGCAACTTCGAGCCGGCTGGTGGTTTCCTACAACGGCTTGGCCGGTGCTCTCGGCGCCGACATTACGGCAGAGGTTCGTCTCGATAATATGCAATAATTTTTCCTTGTTGACTTTCCACTTGAACGCTATTGACCCTGGTCCCGACGCTGACAACAGAAACTTAGGAGGCCATCCCCAGGAAGTGTAATGGTCCACTGTCTGCGTTAGAAACAATCTCGATGTCTCGCTTTCTTGTCGCCCATTTTTTGCCAGGTTGGGTACGACCTCATTGCCGGACTGCCGGGCCACTCCGGGGTAGTGACGGTGACCGCCTTGGGCGGGGAGCGCAACATCTCTGTGCTTTCCTTACAGAGCGGCATGCTGAAGGCAGGGCTATTCATCGAGCTCGCAGGAGAAGCGTACGAGATCGAGGCGGTGGATGCGTCAAACGAAACAATCTCGCTGGTCGAGGTGTGTGTTGTTGGTCTGTAGTACAGCACACCTGCACTTTTGTAGGTTGTTTTTCTTTACTTCTGGCGACGAAGATATTCTACTCGGGTATTGATGACGTCGGTTCAAGCCAAAGCGCAGGTTTTGAGCCGCTGAGTTGTGACGATTCAATCCCTGTGTCATGACTCCCCTCATAACACCACAGGCGTACGGCGGACCGAACGGAAACCTAACCGCCAACTACGGTACCTCCGTCAGAGGCAGGAGCCCCTCCACCCTCCTGTCTGCAACCATCCCCGCAACGCTATCATCGTCCGTGGCATCACCGATTAGTGATGGCAACGGAGGCATAGCCACCAACTCCAACTCTTCTTCCCTGTGGTACACCATCACCGAGCTAGAGACCGGAGAGCCGTACTTCGTCAGGGTATCCGCGAAAAACGCCAGAGGTCTCGGCCTACCCAGGGGCTCGAACCCGGCGTACCTGGCTCCACCGAAGCAGGTCCCGGCGAATCCCGAAGGGGTGCACATTTTCCCGGATTCTTCGAACTCCCTCAGGTATTGAATGCGTAGAGGAAGAGGGTCCGCCATGGTAGGGAGTAATGTCTCCCACCGTCGAATTAGTCCATCCGATTGGATACAATAATTTATGCGTTGAAACGGACTATCAAACCTCGCGAAGGCTTGAAAGTGTCAACGTTCCAACCTGTGACAAAATGGTCCAACCCAACGTCGGAATACACGTTGTGATCCCAAGCACGTTTTACTGGGGTACTTTTAGCGTGGGCACGTTAGTGCGCTTGCGGAAAACGCTTTCCATTAAAGCGATCGTCGCCTTGGTTACTCTTTGTCGTGTGGAAACAAACGCCCAGGGTACTTTGGAACGCCCCGTCCGCGGACGGCGGGTCCTCCATTACCAAGTACAAGATCGAGTGGGACCCCGAGGAGTCCTTCGGCTCAGGAGGTGATGGTGGTCCGCTAGGATCGCACCAGAAGGTCGTGACCAACTCCTCCCAGTGCAGCTCCTCCCCCTGCGAGTACACGGTCCCCAGCCTTGCTAAGGGTTTACCGTACCACGTCCGCGTGTTTGCGTACAACCAGGTACCTGAATTGCTATACATGCCCGCTTTCTTTCCAAAAAACTATCCGGAAATGGAACGTGTTCCTAGACTGTGTTTCGGCGTACTTCGTGTGTTTTTCAAGCTCCCAACCACAACAGTCAATCAGTCGTCATCCGGAGTCGGCGCACTATATATATAAACGAGTGATTGTTGAGGGTTCATATACGACCTCTGGGCAGGGCGACGATGACAGGCTTTCATCCTTGCCGTAACAAAACTAAACGTTCGCATTTTTTCGTACGATAAACGCGTCCAGGAGGGTTTCTCGGTGTCCGGTGCGCTGTCGAGCCCGTTCAACGAAGCGCCGTGCACCCAAGCATCGCCACCCCCGGCCGTCGACGTTCTCCCCGCCTCATCCACGTCTCTCCTGGTTGCGTTCGAGCCCTCCCTTGACGACGGAGGAAAGCCTATCACCAAGTGAGTGCGTGAGGGAGTTTCGTCCGTGAGGGCAGTCGCGGTCGTTTCTCACTGGCTGTCATGGCCTTTGTACACTTTTTGGCGCTCGTCGCCGAGCTGTCAAGTGGCGTGTATGTCGCACCTTCTAACGCCCGAGCGAAGTTTCCGACCTCGTCCGCTGTAGTCTCATATTTCGACACTACGTGGTCAGTGACACTCACTTGTATTCTGGCTTGCCTTTGCTTCAATTTCTGTTGACAGCTACAAGGTGGAATGGGATGCCATCGGGCTCGAAGGATACCGCAATGGTGGCAGTCCCTCCGACTCCCTGCTTTACTCCAGCGTTGATATCCAGGCGGTGGAAGTATCTGCATCTAGGAACAACCTCGGAGGGCACTTCTCCCTAGCATACAGGCGAGTCCTGCACAACAGAAAACATACACAATGTTAGCATCGATTCAACGCCATGATGGAGGAAAATAGAGGAGGTAGTGAACCTGCTCTGAGGCCGTTGCTTGTCTCGCAATTCCGCCACAACCCGTTAAAGTTCATCAGTAGCTTTATCACTTGTTTTGGCCATTTGTCCCGTGACCGGTTAGGGGCATCGATCAGTCGATATGTCAGGGTTGCGCCGCGACCAAGATTCATAGTAATCAAAATGACGCACGTTCACCATTGCTTTTAACAGGGGACTTGTGACAGACACCATTTCTATCGACTCTTCAGCCGAGGAGGTGGATGATGCTCTCAAGGCGCTGCCCACGGTTCCAGGAGGTCTCCAAGTCACTCGGGAGGTAAGCCTACACCTCAGCAAAATTCAAAACCCCTTCTGAACCATGCGCGGACAAGCATGCCCGAGTGAGCGTAGGCGATATGATATAACTGTAGATTTACGCCGTCAAGGAACAAGAGCAATGTGAGAACAAAAATTCACCACGATCGTGTACTTTGGCCAGGTGATACTTGCCTATCTCCCGCTGGTGTAAGGTATCGCTCTGATGAATTAATGCAAAAGCCGTTAAGGTGTTGCGCGAGAGGGGCTGGGGGGTGCTTCCGTTTCCGTCCCAATGACCAATATTCGCGCAGGATAACAAGAGTGCATTATCTGCACATACCCAAGCTTATCGTGTATTCCAGGAAAGTACAATATAATATATATAATAACGACCTTTTTGCGCTTGATGTGTTTGTTGGTCATCTCTCTCTGTACTCTTCTCCGGGTGTGAATCATGTCTTATCAGCAATCCTGCTGCATTCTCACGTTACCGAGAGATGCAATGCTAGGGTGTGATGTACTCCCGAAAGATGGTGGTTCGAACACGAAGTTCAATGCGGACGTCGCTTCAACCTCCGTTGAGGCGACACGCAACTTTCGCACCCATTCCAGTCACAAACATGCGCCATCCCTCAACCCTGAACGTCTGCCTCTCCCGAATCTGCAAAACTGTACGATACCCTGCCAGGATTTGCCCGGAGACGTTGGCAGATACGGCCGGCGCTGGCTCATCAGCATCCCCGCAGATGCCTGCCTGGAGGAAAGGGCCGGATTATGTCCTCGGGTGTTGGTATCCGCTGACGACACACTCTTCGTTTCTGAGTTTATGATGACCACAAACGCAACGAGGTATGGTGACGGGTTCAGCGAAGAGTTATCTTCGCAGGGGCCGTCGTTGAGCGGGACGGATGCGGTGGTCACCTCGTCTAGGTGGATCGAGGGATGGAGGGGCTACGAGCAGCAGGTGGTATCTGTGGCGGCGACGAACGGTTCGCTATCCGGAACGTTCCGCCTGCGGTACGGGGATCAAGCCACTGTGCCCCTGGATGCCAACGCCTCCGCCGAAGCGATTGAGGTGCGTCGTGGACGATTCGGTGTCATATGACGATTGTATATCCAGAAGTTCCTAGAAGCTGGTATTCTCGGGGTACGTCCACGGCCAATGTGACGAGAAGATTACCAAGGCCCACAGCGTGTTCAGAGAGGCCACAAACCTCTATCTCGGAGAGATTCTAATGCCATGTTCGACAACTGTTTTGGGGTGCGGTCCTTAACATTTAATCGCGGCGGTGCTCATGTCTCTAGAGGTGGTACTTCGTTTTCGTGTCACTACTCCAACCGCTAGCGCTACCTCTGCCTGCTTGCATGGAACTATACTGCAAGTATCGAATACGCTCCACGCCTATAGACGCCGCAAAAACACTTCTTGTTTACAGGCGGCACTGGAAGGACTAGGATCGGGAATGCTGGGAGATATTGCTGTTCGACGGAAAGCGGCTGCATCTGAAACTGTTACACAAGCCGATTCTTTCCAGTGGACGGTCATCTTCCTATCCGAGGTACACCGGTAGCCAACGCTTAATCATTGTGGCATGCAAGTGTTTGTGTGAGAAAACAAACTTTTCGCTCGATCCCTGACATCGTTGACATGGAATGCTAGTATCCTGTGCGTTTTTTTGGCGGAAACTCAGGTATTGGCACGTGCCTGTTCCGTATTGGTCGGTAATTGACCTCTTCATCGCCGTCACCACTTTTGAAACCCGCACCAACAAGTACAGCACAAGGTTCTTAACGCTGCTGCACAGCGATGTTTCCGTTAGTGCGTCGTCAATCTTCACGAGCGTCGCTGACCATGGTTCCTCCTTCTGCTTGCAGTTGGGCGCTCTGAGCACCCTATCAACGGACGTTTCAAGCGTCATCCGGGACGACTTCGATGCATCCATCGAGGCGAGGGTGACCCACCTGGTTACGGGTTGGCTGCCGCTCATGGACTCGAGCTTGAAGGGCTCGACCGTCTTCAACGCTTCGACCAACTCGTCCCATGAGCAGTATGAGGTACACTGATGCCATGACACCAAGGCGATCTTGCAATTTGACGTCTACACTATTTTGTTGCTGGTGGTACGGAAGTTTTCATTTGACCGACATTGAAGGGGTCCGCGCGTGAACACTTTAACCCATTCTGCATGCATGGAATAAACGGTTCAGAAACTGGTTAGATCGATGAGGCCGGAGAACTGACCTCAGAGAACGTGGGTTTTGGCTGCAAATGACTTGACAACACCGCTGGTCGCCGAAACTCGCGTTCCTTCGTACAAATGGAAAATATGAAACGACGAGCGTCCGCTCTTCGCACGACCTGTTGCAGCAAGTGCCAGCTGTCTTGACGTGACACTATTATCGTTCCTGGCGCAGTAGATGCAACGAACAAACTTCCAAGCCCGCGAATCCCAATGGGAAACGCGCGTCTAAACCTCTTGCGATTCTGCCCTTCCCGCACTTGCTGCCATCATTTCGGAATCACGTTTGTGCCTGCTTCCGTCACGCCAGGTGACGGGGCTCGCAAAGGGAGCAGCCTACCACGTTCGAGTGAGCGCGTACAACGGTGTGGCGCTGTCGTATGGGAAAACGGAGCCCTCGATCCTCCCGGTCGTGCACCCGGGCGGCCCCCCTGAGCCGCCGTCTCGGATAGAGGTGGAGGCGTTTTCGCCATCCTCTCTGGCCATCTCTTGGTCTCCCCCTAACGATGCCATGGGGGGCGATGTTACCGCGTACCAAGTGGTGAGTAAGAATCAGGGAGAGATAGGCGTTCGATAAGGTTGAGGTGCCTGGGGGGGGTATTGTTTGCTCTTGCTGATGCTGGGAGAGCCTGAGGTGCTCGAATCGTTTTTTTGCGGAGTATTGAAAACCTCGCTACTGCACCGCCGCATGTCCCACGCGAGCGGACAGCTTCTCATGTCATGCACTGCTTCCACTCTAAACCATGCTGCTGACGCTGGACAAAAACAGGATGATGTGGCGTCCTCACTAGTTGCCGTTGCTTCCACACACATTCACCCTTCAAAGCCACAACGCCATCGAAAAAAAGTAATGGAAGCACATCGAAAGCGCCCTTTGACGACTGTTGTTTCCTGCTGCTTCCTCGGCTACCTCTCACACGAAACTCGACGCTGCCATTATTCAAACAAATCATGACACTGATAGGAGTGGGATGGCGCACCGGGAATCAGTGAGCAGCAGTTCATCCGAATTTCCAACGCGGTTTCCGGAACGTTCCGGCTGTCTCTGGATGGGGCGACGACTGCCTCCATTCCACACAACGCACTGGCCTCCCGGGTAGCGTCCGCCCTGGCCTCTCTTCCCAACGTGGCGTCACCGGTGGAGGTATTTCAAGTGATGCCGTGTAATGCGCAGTTTGGGACGTTGGCGGGTAGGGTAATGGCAACGAGCTTGAACATGGGGATATCGCACAAACTAGTGATCAGGTTTGGGCAAGCGGTCGACTCTTTTGATACAACTGGACATCACGCCATAGATGGATTTACCGAGGTGTTGCACAAAGCTCTCCATAGCACACAATCCTGTTTCCAGTTACAACGGTGCTGACGAGAATCCTCGCATGATAGTGTGGAACCCTTGTGCCGCGCGGCCCGTAGACTCCAGACGCCGCAAAGGCCGCGTTGAATCAACGACACAAAAGCGAAATCGGTCTTGTGGCTAAAAGTCTAGTAATCCGTTCAGCTTCCCGACTAGGGTGAGATTTGTTTCTCAGTCTCGAAATTCAAACCCTTTCGATGAATTATGACTACTCTATCGTGTGATATCCTTGCTTCTGTGACCGAATTTCTGTCAGGTGACCAAGGAGAGCTCGGCAGCAGCATCGGCTACGGCTACGGCTGCGGACTCTACGGTTTCCTCTTGGAGGGTGGCGTTCGTCTCCAACATCGGTGACCTCCCTCTTATGGCCGTGCAGGTAATCCCAAGAAACACCGCACAATAGATGGACCCGTTCGTTCCTGTTGGCAGCACGGGTTCGCAAGGGGCATGCGATTGATCGCCTCAGTTGTTAACAACATCGCCCGTCCTTCGATCCGAGCGCACTCTCGACGGGGAATGCTAGAGGAGGTTCGCACCATAGAAGTACGCACACGGGCGATAGCTTCGGAGAGCGGTAGCCTGTCGTGACCTTGAGCCCCCATCCTCGGGTGCAAGGACATCCCTGTCCACCTCATACGCTACATTCGCAATTGTGTTTGTTCCGCTTCGCCCAGGCTTCCTCGCTTCGAGGCGTGAGCGTTTCAGCCACGGTTGAGGAGAGTGTCAAAGGGGTGCTGCCGCCGTTCGACCAGGGGACCGTTGGGATCAACGTCATGCCGCTTGGCTTCGCAGAGGTGTGACAGTCTCTGCTCCCTGCCGCTACTCTCTCGAACCCCTCCCTACACGAGAATACAGTACCTCTATCTCGAATCCCAAGGGCACCATGAGTACCGCGGTTGTGCCGCCGCGTTCGGCAGACGTGCTATGAAACCACAAGCTGTTTGTTCCCTTCGGGTCTCGCGAGAGCCTCGTGGTTGATTCACTTGACTGCTTTCACAAGCGAGGTTGATCATAGTGGTGAACGGTGGGTTTCCCAGAGCTATCCTCCCTTGCTAAATAATGATGCCAGGCACCCATTGCCATTATCCAGCTTAAAGCCTGCTCTTGTGGATGATAATCGTTGCCAGAAAACTGTACTCAAGACAAGATGATACTGCCCCTATGAACGAACTAGAGTGTCGCTGGGTCGCTGGTTATTATTTGGCTTGCAGGTCCTATCTGAATCAGCTATTACGTTTACCACGATTTTCATGGATGTTTGAATTACCTGACACCATCGTGTCATGTGGCACCCTATTTTTCAGTACTCGAGGGGAACCCATATGTTATTATCATACAACAGAAACCAACTTCCGGAAGCCGAAAACGATCGCTGTTTCCCGCAGGTGACCTCCACAAGCGAGGTGCAGGTGATCACAGCGGCGGCAACCGCCTCCGACTTGGATGGGTACTTCTTTGTCGGATTTGAGGGCCACTGGTCCGAGCGGATCGCTTACGATGCCACCGCTGACGAGATGGCCTCCGCGCTGGCCGGCATCCCCGCTGTGGGACAAGTCCAGGTGACGGAACGTACTTTGGTGTTGGTGCTGGTGTTGGTGCTGGTACTGGTGCTGGTGTTGTTGTTGGTGGTGTTGGTGTTGGTGTTACCATTGCTGTCGGTGAGGGGTTGGTGTCATTCCCAGTTCGCACCGTTGAACCTGTTACGACCTCTTTCGTGAACCTTCGTCGAAATCTGGTTCGAGCTCCCCCCCCTTCCGGAGAGTTGAACCCTCCGCGCGGTCCCGATGGGTACAAGGTGCTGCAAGAACTTTCAGATACCACCAAGAGCCTAACCTACTAGGTCAAACGACCTCACCACGACCCCACCCAGTGACCCTAACGTATTCTGTAGTCAAGATGCACTCGGCACCTTGATGACCCCTCGAATTCGGAAGGGTGTGAAGGATGATTTTGTTCGCGACGCCAATTTCTTCTGTGTCTTGATCAGCGGGATCTTTAAAACATGCACTGGGTGCGGCTTATCTGTGATCAAGGTCTGTTGGCTGGGCGTGAACGGTGGTCGATGAGTATTGAATCATTTCGAGAAGAGCCGGATACGCCGGGTTGATTCTAGCATGCAGTGCTGAGTCCAACAGGCCCTCCACCCTCGCCGGTATCCGTGCTTTCAAGGAAGCTGTTAGAGGATCTAACCTACGACCCATGGGATTGTCGGTGATTTTGTTTGCATGCGCTCGATGATGGCTGGAGTCTAGGCGTGCAAACCTGTGTTTGGTGGTTGTGATGCCAGCGTTGTGAGGGTGCTGGATTATCACACGCTTGGTGTTGCCACTGATGCTGACAGGAATTTCCAACGCGATCGACAGCCACCATCGTTCCAATCCTCGTACATTTTCTCTCTCCACGACCCACCCAGGTGTCTGTCGAAAACGCCTCCTCCAAGGACCCAAGCTACCCCTACACCGCGGGGCCAAGCGCACAAGGGCTCTCGTGGTACATCACCTTCCCCCCAGCAGCCGGCGACGCCTCGTCGCTGATCGTCAGCACGGGGAACGGTCCCGATTCGGTTCCAGGATCGGTCCTCGCCTCGGCAGGGACCTTGAGCGGCACCGATCCATTAGTAACTGTCGCTGAGTCCCGCAAGGGAGGCCTCATGACAAGCATAGTCACCCCCGAGGAAGCGGGGTTGGAGGTCGGGACTGGGTACTCCGTGAGGGTGAAGGCCTATAATGGCATCGGGTGGAGTGAGGTAAACCACTGGAAGAGAATGCAGCATTAAACACAGATGTCTGACACCAAACACAGATATCGAACCAAGCGGAGCGAGAACACAACATAGTTCAAAAGGTCACAGCTGTCCACCAGAACATACCAATATATGTGGGTCAATTCGTAAAAGAGCTTCAGGGATGTAGGCACACTGCAAAAGTTGAATATTCTCGAGAAATATCCAGAAGGGTGCACACGTGCTTCATCAATTCGCGGAGCGCAAGTAACACACACTTCGACCAACAGTTTGCCGTCTGGAGAACGTATAGGGCAATTTTTCATCGCGAAAACAGCTACTACTGCCGTAGTCTGGCGTCGTACACCACAGGCCTCACCTAAACAGTGTTTAGACGCCGAATTACATGTAGCCTTGCTCGCCGTTTGTAGTGCCACTGGTGCCCACACTTAACATTGAACGTACTTTGACCTGATGTTGTTTACAGGTTCGCACGGCACCCTTCGTGGCGATGACGTCCGCACGCGCGCCTTCGCCACCCCGGTCGGTGGGAGTATCCGTCCTATCGGGGTCCCAGTTAGCGCTGTCCTGGATGGAGCCAGAAAGCAACGGCGGCTCCAACGTCACTAGGTACCGCTAAGTTGTTGGTGCACTTCAGCGGAACTTTTGTTTCGTTGCTTCGTAAAACCGCAACTGAACACGTTTCATTTCTGTCTCTTTCTACACGACGCCAGCTCGTACTCTTCGCAGATCCCTTTTTTCCAACGATGTCCATAATCGGCCTATAAGCAAACCTGGATGCGCGGCTGTGCTTCGAAATAAGTCATGGGTGGTGTGTTTTTATGTGGTATCAAGTAACGAGTAGTTGACAGAAACCTATGTGGACACATTTTAAGTTGTCCCAAAATCCGTGTTTCACATCGCTCACGAGAAGGAAAGGGAAAGACTTCAATTTCACCACTCGACGATGAGACGAAAGCCTGGACATATTTGCGAGCGTCCCAGGCGTGACGCTGTCGGTATCCGTACACCGTGTAGTAGATTTCCCGAGGTTGTACCGCTCGAGAGCTTGACGAGCTCTTGAGAGGAAAACCCACACCCGCTCCTAATTGCAGCGCCCAAAGGCGATAGGTGTGGCAATCGGGCAGTCGTTTGGAAAAGGGGATAGAACCACGGAAAATTACAGCCCTCGCTGATTGTATTACGCCGATTCGCCACGATAGGTACACCGTGCAGTGGAGTTCCGACGAGAGCTTCGGCTCTGGCAGCGGAGAGGCCAAGATCTCCGCCCCGTACGACTACGGCCAAGACCAGAACACGTGGATGACCTACACCATCGAAGGCGTCTCTGAGTCGGAGCAGACGTACGTCCGGGTGATTGCTTCCAACGCCGTAGGATTCTCGGAGCCGGCCGCCGCGGTACCTCGAGGCTGGTCTCAGCACGAGGTATACAAACTAACGAACAGAACACCGATTCGCGGTTTGTCCATGTTTCTTTCATTTGGTTGGTGTCTCCCGAATGTGTTGAGGTAGCACAAACCAACGAATAATAGATAATATCAGCAGGTTCTGTCAGTTTTCAACTGGTGTTCCAGAGATTCTGCCTCCGGTCGTTTCGTTGGGAACGTGCAAACTACTGGCCCGAGCCTCAGGGGCAGACCAGCCATTTTGGTTTGTTGTCTTACCCGTTATGAGCGCACGGACGGTTGAGACGACGAGACGGTTGGGCATACACGAGGCCAGAAAGTTTCCTGAGCCTGTCATTTCCGCTCGCGTGGAATTGCTTGATCATGCCAAATGGTTCGGTTTCAAACTTGTCCGGAATATACACATGTTGGGCGGTCTTGGGACCTCAATATTCATGCCTAAACAGGGCTTTCAACGTACATCGCGAACGCCGATTTACGAAGAGCATGCGCTAGGTTTCGCTGAGTATGCCACCAGCAAAGGATATGGACAATGTCCGGGATAAGACCCCGCCCGATTTGATCTCTCACAGCCAGCAGTGTAGCAAAGTGGCGAGGGCCCAGCGGTGATTGAATTGAGCAACAGAAGCGAAGAATAAATGACTTGCAAGGAGAGGGGGGAACGGTACCAGGCATGAACATCAAAGGGCACTGGCAAAAGGTGTAGACGGCGGGGAGTTGCCTGAACTAGAAAAGACCGCGCGGGACATCAAGCGATGCTGAACTAAGTGTAAGCGTTCAGCGAAGGAGGTATTCCGTTAATCGAACTCCCGCCTGTTCCAGAAGTAAGGATGCCACGCTGGAGAAAACGTTGAACAAATCCTGAGCTAAACGGCACAAACCGAAGTCGCACTTGTTGTTTTATGGTTGTCCGACGACATGCAGGTGCAGCGGATTCTTTTGATGGGAAGCCAAGGGGGGTCCTGCGTGTCCGATCTGTTGCCCTCTCAAGGAGGCAGCGGATCCTTCAACCTGACTCTCCTCGACCCCTTCACGGGAAGGGCGGATACGACGGAACCCCTGGACTTCGACGCTTCGGCGAATGAGGCAAGTCAGCATTCTCGGCGGTGACCTCGGTTCTGCAGTTGGTTCGTTCTACCCTTCTTTCACGAATGTATGAGTTGACTAACAGTTCTGGACGAGGATAGAATACGTCTGCTCTTGCTCACACGTCTCAAGAGGTTTCGGGCTGGCCGGACTCCGGCTGCATGCATGCCCAATACCGGTAATGATACGAAGACAAGGCCAGAAGGGTCAACATAGTCTATCGACGGAAATTCTGCGCTTCTCCAGGTTGCGGGTGCCCTATCAGCCTTGGAATCGGTCGCCGGAGCGGTTCGCGTGAGCCGTTTCGACCACTCCTCTCTCTCCGGTTTCGATTCCACGGACGTCAGCACGGACCGTTACAAGATGGAGTACATCGTACACTTTGAAGGAGCGGCGAGACCTGGCGATCTCCCTCTGTTGACATACAGGAGGAACGACGACGTCAATTGCGGTAATCACATGCGTCGTCGATTTGACATCCACAGATAGCCTTTATGGTGTGCCTCCACATCGGACCAGAAGAACTCTGACCAACGGCCTGTCCTGCTGCTGTGCATCGAAGCGCTTTTTTGGGATGGCCCTCGAGTGGTTCCGACTCTTGTACTCGACACCGCGAGAGAAGGACGTAGGATGAGCCGAGGGATCCGGCTTAGCAACCACGACTGTAGCCACAACTGACCAAAACTTAAACTACGTTGTTTCTGTGCAGGCAACATCTCTACTTTCCAGCTGGTGGCAGGGAAGGAAGATCCGGCATCGGACCTCGCCGTCATCCCTGAACTAAGGCCGCCCTCTCCTCCGTCCCAGTTGAATGTATCGGTGGTATCGACCAGCTCCCTGGGCGTCTTCTGGTCAGCTCCGCAGTACGACGGAGGGTGAGATCGTGCAAAATCGCCACTAGTTACAATTCATGTAGTTTATTTTTCTGCTCCGCCGTCCTAGCCACAAAGAAGCCTGATCGCCTGATCACATCCCCGCCGCCCTTCGAAGTTGACGTTCCGGGCACCATAGCGAGGGGAGCTCCTATCTGCTTAAGCCTCACCCCGCTCTCAGCTTTTTCTGCCAACAATTCGACCGAGATACTCTGGCAGAATCGTTTCCTTCTCCACTAAATCTCCGCACACCCGCAGGTAGTGAAAAGGAACGCGGGAGATATTTATTCGCTTCCGCATGACGGTTCGTTCGTTATCCAGGCGACCTCGCGGAACTGTTGCATCCTCGTATTCGTGCCCTTTTTATCCTGCCTAACCGCAAACCTTGCCGTTCGTGTGGATGTTCCACCAGATCGGGAGTGAGCAAGTATTTGGTTCAGTGGGACAAGGAACGGAACTTTGGTAGATCCCAGGCCGGAGGAGCAGTTTCGCACGCTGATGCCGCCGAGTGGAGTGCCGTCGTGACCGACACACACTACCAGGTGTATGAAAACAACCCAAACCTCGCTGAAATCAGTGCTACCGAACATTTCTGGCCACGACGGGAATGATAACTACATTTGTTTCCAGCGTTGCATGTCAATAGAGTGCGGGCTTCACGGTGGCCCACTCCATCAGGAGTAGTACGATAGTCACGGACTATCCACTGCCATTGATATAAATAAAGTAGGCCACAAATGCTGCCTCAGCTGGGGTGAATCAACTCACATCCGTGCCGTCCCCGCGCCCATGCCCCACCGTATCTCCCAATCAACATAGCTCGAAGGTCTTGAGAACGGCACGGAGTACTACGTGCGCGTGGCCGGCTACAACGGGCCCGGCGGGGAGAACTCAACGAGCGAGTCCGAAGAAGCGTTCACGACGTACGGGGCTCCTGCGGACGCGTCCCCGTTCCCCATCACAACCATCGAGCAGGTACGTACAAAGCTCGCTGGCCGCCCAGTTGATGCTTCCATGGCGGGACAATGATTTATGGTGCACGTTTCGTGTTGCGCAAGTCTACAGCTAGTACCTATTCTGCTCCGGCGTTCTCCACGGGCATCCCTAATTCCGCCGGGACTACCCAAACGATGCTGTCGCAATCTGGTCGCGGTTGCAGGTCCCGTACAAGCCCAACAACGTTACCGTACGAGTCTCGACGGCGTCGTTCGCATCCCCGGATTCGCCCGGGCAAGTGCCGGATCGCTTGGATGTGAGCTGGAGCCGCCCATCCGTGGACGCAGCCACCCAACTCTTCGAGACGAGCGATGGAGGTATAAACGCGAAACGTGCGCAGCTGCTGATCTCTGATCTTTCTGCAATATTTTTTTGTTTCAACATACTCAAACGATTGGGTCTGCGTTCACGCTAGTGTTGCACCACACACGCTGGGGGAAGTATTCCGAGATTCAGTAGTAGCGAACGCCGGATTTGGACCGTGTCGTACAAATGTTTTGTTCCCTCTGCTGGATCTTCACCGGTACCGTGTGCCCGTGCATGTTTCCACAACAAAAAACTAAAGGTTCCACGATAACGCACTACCGAGTGGGGTGGGACGTTAGAGCGGATTTCACGTCGGCCTCTGGCAGCAGCAGCAGCAGCAGCAGCAGCAGCGCCTCCGAAACCAACATGTCGACCGCGGGCTCCTACGACATCCGCGCCATCCGGAACAACGGTTCCAGCCTCCGCTGCCAGTCCGACACCTGCACGTTCGCCCTTGGCGCAGAGGTGCAGACCCTGGATGTGTATTCCGGGGACACGAACGTGCTAGCCGGTGGGGAGTACCGCCTGAGCTACACGGCCGGCCTTGTGGAAGACAACACCAACGTCACGTCGGTCTCGGACTGCATTCCGTTCAACGCAACGTACGATGACTTGGGCACGGCCGTAGAGAGCGTCACAGGCAGCGCTGTCCTCGTCGCCAGGGAGAGGATCACCGACCCTGGCTACGGCTACCGGTACTGGATTACCTTTATCGGGGCCGGGGTGATCGGGGACGTCCCGTCGTTGGAAGTCACGGACTTCTCCGGAGATAGCACCGCTAATTGTTCGGCTTGGTCGGTGGTTACAGGCTCGTCCGGTGGGGTTGACGTTACCGCTGCAACTACGCAGCAGCACCTCTCTGTGGCAACACAGATTGACGGAGGGTTCCTGTCCCCCGGCACAACTTACTTCACGCGGGTATCGGCGATCAACTCCGTTGGTGTCGGCGAGGCGCAGGAAAGCGAATCGCAAGACAATTGCGGGGGGATCGAAGGCGCTTGTGCACCGAGAGCACCCCCACCTCCTCCAGTCGACGCCAAGGTGTGCTGTTATTGTTATTGTTGTTGTTGTTGTTGTTGTTGTTGTTGTTGTTGTTGTTGTTGTTGTTGTTGTTGTTGTTGTTGTTGTTGTTGTTGTTGTTGTTGTTGGTGATTGTTGTTTTTGCTGCAATATCGCGTGATTGTCTGGCCACCCTTAGTATATATTCCCTCCTGTCACAATGTGGGCCCATCCCGACAACTCTTGCCACAAGTATTGAATGTGCTTGCCAGAACTTTGTTCGGTCGCAGAGTATTCTCGGCGTGGTTGCCGGCCGAGCTCCTCAAGAGCGTCCTCGCAGCCATGCTGTAACAACAACAGCATTAGCTGTACCTTACATCACCCGCCACGCCACCCTCCCCACAGGTCTACGCAGATCCCGAGGAATCGCTGTCTCTGCTGATTGGGTGGGACTCTCCTATCGGAAGCAACGGTGCAGACGTCCTTTCTTACGTGTTAGAGCTCGCCCCTTCGGTTCTAGGGGGATCTTGGACCGAGCCGTACTTCAACGTAACCGTGATGGCTGAAGATGCTGCGGAGATGGCAACAACGTCGGCCGTCGGAGGTAACGGGTTGGAAACCTCACTCGTTGTCTAGAGGCAAGAGGGTGAAGTCTCTGCCCTCGGTATATGCCAAACGACGCGGCCCACCGGAGTCGCGAATGTGTGCGTCATCACCAACCAGCGAGCGATTCATTATGATGTGATTGAGGCACAAACCAAAAACCGTTGTCGCGTTACCAAGTCAGCGGGCTCTCCGGTGTGTTTCGCCTACTGTTAGTCTACAGAGGGCACAAAGGCCCTGCAAAGGGACGTCATCATCAGTTTTGGGGAACATAATCCCGAGCGTAGCAGAACAATAGATATGGACGTAAGACCTGCACGTTTGGAGAATACCGATAGCATAATCCTGGTGACAATGCGGACGTTGCCTCGCGGTGCCGATAGGGTGTCTCCGCCAGCGGGTTGACGTATTTTTCTACACCTCACGGCCTTGCACAATGATTTGAAGCAGTTCCTGTCTTGCCGTACATTGGCAGGTAGGGCCGGCGGGACAGACGGTGGCTTCACACAGATAGAACTCCTGATTGCCTTTTCGTGGTCGAGTACTGCATGCAAAATATTTGTGATCGTGGGTACATTCACACTGAAAGAAATGCTTTGCAGGTGCTCATCAGTCAACGTGCCCTTAGACAACACTGCTGTACCTCATGTGTTTTTTTTTCAACACCAAGCAGGTAGCAGCTACGCGGTGGAGATCGACTTGTCCGAAGAAAACGTAACATGCGGCGAGCCGTGGCTTGCTCGAGTTCGAGCTGTGAATGAGATGGGCCAGGGGCCACCGGAGTGGTACCCGTCCGTGGTGAGTAAGGCGATCGCTACAAAGCGATGCGTAAAACAGCAACAGATGTGAACACCGTGAGGTACACTGGCATCTCACCTGACTCGCATGGTTGACCAGACATTCGCCAGGTGCTGTTGCGTCGAAACGGGCGGGAAGATAGCGTTGTTCCATGAACGCCATCGCCTCTTTTGAGATAACATGTAGCTGTGCCGTATGCTGCAACAACCACACGGTGGTTTCACAGCGGATTCGCTTCAATGTTCTCCTACTCAATGGTCATTATCGACAACGTGGTTTAACTGGTGCCTTCATACTCGTCACTGCTTCGGGACGACGGCAAAAACTACCAATGTCCACATACACACGAGACCCTTTTTAAATACCTTGAAACCTGATAAACCGATGCTGCGTACAGGGCCTTTCGGGCGTCGTATACGCCGTCCCGACCTGTCCAGCCGGCATCGAGGACTGCCTCGAGAGCAGCAACGACACCATCGTGCCCCGGAGGGTCCCCCGCTCCCCCAGCATGGACGTACCGCTATCCATCGGTGCGACAAGCTCCCCCAACTCCTTTACCTCGACCTCGCTCATGGTGACCTTCGCCGCCGACCCCACGGACGTCAACTCTACCACCTCGTGCGACGAAACCGCCGTCACCAAGTTCAAGGTCGAGTGGGACACGACTCCCAGCTTCAACAGCATGGGAAACAAGCCCCTCTCTTACGACGCCGACGCGGGAACCAGCCCCGAAGTCGTCGACATCGACCCTCGCGACGGAAGCGCGCGGTACAACATCACCGGGTTGGTCCAGGGCACCCAGATCTACGTCCGCGTTTCGGCGCTGAACACCCTTGGGTACGGCGCGGCCGCGGACTACCAGGACGCCGTTCCGATAACCTCGGCCGACGCGCCCGGTTTCCCCACCACCATTGCCCAGCTAGTTGAGGTGGGAATGGGAGTACTGTACGACGAGTCACCGGGTAGTGATACAATAGAAGGACAATAATGCCGATCACGGTGAAACGGCTCTAGGCTTCATTTTCGGAATATTTGTTTTCTTTTTTTATAGTTTCTTCGGGAGAGGCTGGTACTGCGCCTCTGGTAGGTGAGGTCGTTGTCAATGACGGTGCCTATAGGTGTACCATGTGAGACTAACCACACACGTGCGACATATCGTTGCACTTGGACCTTTATCCCAGGACGAGACTGACCCAGCGTTCCGCGGAAGGTCTCTGCGGGTGTCGTGGGCAGCACCGGCGGCAGACGATGAGTACGGAGACCACTTCGGGGACGGAGGGGATGACATCTCCGCCTATTTGGTGGAATGGTCTTCCGCGTCCTTCGAAGCTTACGAGCCGACCACGTCCGAGATCTTCGTGTCGTGCGACGGCGGCGGGACCGCCAACGGCACTTTCCGGCTAATGCTCAACACCTCCGACACCGAGCTGGCTGCCGTGAAGGTGAATATTGCATCGTCTATCTCGGCCGGCCAGGGTTACACCCGCGGTTGCTACGAAGTCTAAGCGTTTATCTGTCTCGAAGCTTGCAGATTAGTGGTTTTCTGGGCTTTTTTTTTGCTGGGTGACCATGTGCCTGCGTGCCCTATGGGCCAAGGCCCGTTCTCCCCGTGACCGAGTTCGCCTCTACGGTGCTACAGTATTGGAACACAGTACTACTGGGGGGGATATCATGGCTGCAGGTTCCATCGAGACAATCTACTGGATGAGACAACAACAGAGACATCTTTGCCCGATGATGCGTGACTGTGCGGTCCACGACCCAAGTTACGTAAATGTGTTACTTATTTGTGCCCTCTTCGACGATAGGGTCTTTACCTGTCGACGGATGTCGACGCCAACGCCTCCGCGTGGGAAGTGCTGACCAGCCTGGAGAACATGCCCAACATCGGAACGGTTTCGGTCGAAGAGACAACCGCCAACACAACCTTCAGCGCGGGAAACAGCGCCAACACTTCGGTGTGGGAGGTCACCTTCACCTCCGAAGTGGGGGCATTCCCTTCCTTCGAGGTGAATGCTGAAAAAAAATTACAAGTGGTTTTCTGTTTGCTTGTCCGGGGTACAGAGCTTAGAAAAAATGATGAATCAGTACATGAGGTATTGTCTAGTGGTCCCGACATACCGCGGTCCCGAATAGCACGATTCCTCATAAATCGCCGCAACAATGTCTCAGCACAACCGTCTAGCCTTTTCATAAATTACTGTTCAGGCACCTTTCCCTAATAGCGTGGGTCCCGATATGCCGTGGCGATTATTGCCTGTCACTACACCGCGATGTATCGGGACCACTACTTTAGAGCGATAATCCGGATGGGAGACGAAACAACAGCATCGATTTCTCAACAGAGGGTCATCCTCAACGAAATACATCACCACCGTGTCGCTTGTCTGCATTGCTGTTTAGGTTCATGACAAGAGCGACCTCTCGTGTTCGAACGGCGGAAACGCCTCCGTGAATATCGTCCACACTCCGGGAAGCCTGCCCAACAGCACGGCGTACTATTCCTACGTTCGAGAGGTCGATGACTCCGACGACGGAAAGTTCGACTACGTCATCACTGACCTTATACCCGGAAACGTGAGCAAACGACTTGGGATTTTGTCGGTGTACTTGTGCTGGGAATCGGGATAAGGATAAGGAGCCCAGTAAGCACAATTGTACATTCTCCCTTGACGTGGCGGGACACTGACAAGATAGTTTATCACACGCCCTATCAGCCTACGATAGAACGAGAAAAGAGGTCACGTCGTGACTAGAGACGCATGGGTGTCGTCATTTCTCCCAGAGACTAGCGTCTGCGACATCTACACGTTGAGGTGTTGCTATTTCATTCTCGCGATGTCGTTGGAAACGAACGTTCATAGTTTGTGAGGAAGTACATGGTTCGTTGGCTGCAAGATCAGTAATTTCGCGGCTACGGTCCACACACAGCTACTCATATAGCCACACGACATGGTGTCGTGAATTCTTGATTCATTACACGCACCCTCCACGCAACAGGTGTACTTTGCGCGAGTCTCGGCTTTCAACACCCTCGGGTACGGTGCAAGGCGGCCTGCTGATCCCATAGAAACGGGTGCCACAGCGGAAGGGGGGATGCAGGTCCCTTACCAGGTACAGCACGTGCCACCTTTTCCAACGTCTATGCCTGTTGTTGTTTCGGTTGTTCCTCTTGTTCTTGCCGTTGGAAGTGGGGGCGGTGACCGTTGGTGTTATTCTTGCGATTGTCCCAAAAGGAATCCTGGCCTCCGGCGGTCTATGATGATTCCAAGTTGCGAAGGCACTCTTTTTTCCTCCCACGCTCACGTCCCCGCTGCTGTCGTCACTCCCAAGTGTTTACTTGCATGGTGTACACCAGGTTCTTGATAATGTTGTCCATTGCCAATAGTGAGCCGCGCCTGTTCAATTATTTAAACGGTGATTGCGTGCAGGCACCAGACCCTCCGGTATCGTATTACCATGGAGAGGGTACCCCTTCCCTCGCTCTCAAGGGCCCGAGCAGCCTTGCTGTTACCTACGGTGCCCCTCAGTACGACGGAGGCGATCGCATCACTGTCTTCCAGGTAAGCCGGTTTTTCTTTTCCCTCTCTAAGACTATATATTGTGGTACTGCAGATGCGAATCAGTAGGATGTAAGCCTTGAGACGCTGCTGCTTCTTTCAGATGACGTGATTCAAGATGGGGATCAGTTTCAAATGGCCGCCAGACCCTTCAGCGTAACTTGCTCCGAGATGGTTGATAGCTTCCTGTGCAATAATTTTCGACGTCATTGATATGTTGGTAATGTATTGATTTTATCCCCACTCAGAGCAATACATAAGGGGTTCGCATGCGTTTGTGAGTCGGGTGTGATTGGAATCCCCGGCGTCATATTCTAGATTATTACAAAACACTCACCACTACAGTAGTTCCGTTACGTTGTGATCATCCACAAAAGTATTAATTATCCTGACACTCGCTGTGGAAGTTATGCTTTTGGCCATAATCTACTTCGATGTTTCGCCATTGTTACGTGACATGTCGCTTGCTGATAAGGTACAATGGGATCGAAGCCCTGATTTCACATCAGGGGCAAATGGGCAGGCGGACGGGCATGCCTTCGTGGATGCCACTCAGACGCTGTGTTCCACATGCGTCGAAGGCTTCTCCTTGGGTAACCTGACACTCAGAATCGACGGAAGCACTGATTTCTTCGGCCGACTGAACGCTGGCAACAGAATCCTGGTGAGCGGGTTGCTCTGACTTTATAGACACCAACGAAAAGCTACTCTTTGTTCACGCGGAGAGCAGCGTATGCTCGGGGACCAGCTGCAAGTGTTACAAACGTAGTCAGCTGTGTGGGTTAGCTTGTGATCATTCCAGGTGAAGAAACAGGGGATACATTATGCCGGAAAGAGGACAAAGCATCGTTTTCCAACGGAAAACAACAAGAGTACCAAACAAATCTCGCACTGCTTGATGGCAAAGGTTTTGTGCTGTAACTGGGTTACTCGCCCTGGTACTGGTACGTACGTAGTTCTTCTTGCTGCCCCAGTCTCGCCCATTCAACCCTTATTTTCGGGACCTCGTTGGATTTGGCGGCAAAACGTTCTTGTTCTTCGACAGGGGCAAAGTGCTCACTATGTCGAACTACTATTCTTGCATCTGGAGGCATGGACTCAACCGTTCACGGCTTGTGCACGGCCAGAGCGATAGGATGTTTTTCCCCCCGAAAGAAGTCCAGAAATTCTTCCTGCAATAAACCTACATACAACAGAGACGCTCGCGTTGGTGTCCTGTGCCGTGCTCCTGTTGTGTGCACCGCTATGCTTCCTTTTTCTTGATCTTGGCCTTGTCCAATAATGCCACCGTTCGTGTCGTCGATTCTCTCTTTAGAACTTGTGATTGTATTTATCTCATTTCGTTGCAAACGGCTTTCCTGCACCCAGGTTGACGAGATGTACGTCTTCACGGTGGCTGACTCTTCTCGCGTCGACAGCTTCGAGATCGTTGTCGAAGAGGAGGGGCACAACGCCCTGGAAGACCTCGACGGCCCCATGAAGGTAATTCCTCAAACCGTTCGTCATCTACCGTCGCCAGAATTCTGCACCTAACCAAGCCAGTGGTCATATTCACATCTCTCTACTGCACAGTTCTGTCGAATTCGGGGAGGGTCCGCTGATATCTTCGCTACGGGCGGTCTCATTGGTAGTACCGCGTAGCTTAACCTAGCCCTGCCACAAAGATGCCCAACAACCGCGCGAGGTCCACACTCTGAAAACCTCCGTGTGCTGAGGTTCCTGTCCACCCACCTGCGTTGCCGTTCCTTGTTTACCACCTGAAACACCCGCGTGGCATGCTATCTCTACACAAAATTTCTGCCGTATTGCACACAGAAGACAAAAGAGTATTTATTCCGCTAAGGCGAAACGCAAAATTCTGCCTTGTGTGTAGGCATGCATGTTCTTGCTTGTCGTTTGCACGTCGAATTTCCACTAATCGTCCCAGGCGCGACGCGACCCCCGTTTCATCTGGTTGGGTGTTAGGAACGCCCTGGGGTCCATCCTGATCTCCTAAGAATGCTAAATAATGTTGCTGCGGTCGCAAATGATAGCGACCTCCTTCGTTGCCCCCGTCCGTGCTTGCGCCGATCGGTCGACAGCTTGAAATATACGGCGGCGAGTATGAGATCGCCGACCTAGAGACTGGGAGCCAGTACTTCGTCAGGATATTCGCACGGAACCAGATGGTGGGATGGGGGGCGGCCTCTCCGACAACACCGAGGTCGATGGTGCCGCGAGCGGCACCGGGGGCACCGGGAATGGTGGATGCATCTGCGGCTGGGCCGAACGATCTAATGGTTACCTGGTCGGGTGTGCCCTCCTCAATGTATGTTCACACATGCCGCTGCCTCCGTACTGGTATGACATAGGTCTGTACATGCCTTGGGTTTTGTAGTCCAAGCATCTCATGTTGTCCACATCTCTCTGTCGTTTTCCTAAGGCTGGGCCAACCCTAGCGCCTGTTTGTCCACGGAGGACGCCTGGATCGCCTTGCTTGTATATTACTTATCCTCCCGCACACTAATGGGTTTTGAAAACAAACACCAATTTCAAATTGGCTGCCCCTAGCACGTCTTTTTCCCCTTCCCGAGTAACGCTCACGCACATTGTTTATGCTGTGTACAGGTGAGCAGGCTGTGCTTACAGCCACTGTCTTCCTCTCGTACTTCTTGTTTTGCTCGCATTTGTTTTCCTCTCTCGCATTTTTCGTGGACCGGAGGTCTTGGAGCTCTATTTCACGACCACCCAAGTTTCCGCTGAAAGCTCTGCTTCCTCCGAATCTAGACGGCACGCCGCTCATGAGACAACTTCCAACGTCGCTAGCTTATGCTCTCCCCTCCTTTCCGTTTCTTTCAAACGCCGTCAATGACACACAACGCACGGTTGCGGCGGACGCTGGAGTAGTAGCAGCAGCACGGTGTCGTCCTATCGCATCGAAGTGTTTACAGCGTCACCCACGGTCAGCGAAAGCGGCTCCCAGTTCGGACAGGCCGAAGTGCAGACGATCACCACGGAGGGGGGTGCCGACGGCACTTTCACCCTCTCCTTTGGCGATCTCGACTACCAGTTGCCGGGGACAGTGGACGTGGTAAACGGGGAGGACTTCGTCGTGACGTCGGAAGACCTGACGCCCTACGTCAAGCGCGGGGACCGAGTGGCCTTTGCCGGGGGATGGGAATATGCCGTGCACGCCTTCCGGCCGTTCAACGCTACCCATCTCTACCTCGCAAAGGTGCCGCTGTATGTATATGTCGGTGTTTTCTGCTGCCGTCAGCGTTCTCCAGGCGTGTTGTCAGAGCAGGAATGAATGCATTTTCATCTCTTTTCCCCTTCCATGCTATGTAGCACCACAGGTGACCTTCTCATCACTGGTACTTGTTGGTACGTCACGGGCAGAACCTTGATTCAAGACTCTGAAGTAGTGAACCGATACACCATAGCATCAGTAGTGTTACATAGTGAATCGATACACCATACTCTCAAGTCAGTCGCAGTTGACTCAGGAAGACGTCCCTCCCTCCTCCTCGAGCTGTCTCAAACGTTTGTCCTTCATTCCTATTTGTCGCCTCGCCAATTGTCCCTTTCGAAGGTTACTACTTCCGGTGTCCCTGTGCGAGCCGGCCTCTTCGATCTAGATGCCGGCTTTGAGGGAACAACGGCGGCAGGGGCAACTATTTTCCACGGGGCGACCACGCCCGAGATCGCTCATGATGCCTCGGCTGCGGACGTCGAAGAAATGCTGGAGACGCTACCTTCGCTAGGACAGGTAGGATCCGCCTGGTGTCCGATCGAAGCATGATCCTGAGGAGCTTTGCTCTTCTTGTGCATACGAAGGCGATTTGGATTATCGCTGGTGGTCGTGGTGACTTTGGTGTGCTGGTTTCGGAGTTCCCTACATTTGTTGAAAAATCTGCCCATTTCGACCTCCTGCTATCCTCGAGTGTCGCACCGAGTCAAAGGGCCCTGTTGGTTGGTACAAGTGTAGCGCCTGTGAGCCCGAACTGTTCTGACGCCCCACCCGTCTTGACGCAAAGTGTACCAATCAACAACCGTCAAGAGAGCACGACATGTACAGCGAGAACCTTATAATCGATCAAGACATTTAGAGCCCACCCATACGTTAACTCTCCCCCCCGGTGTTTGCCATCGGGATTGGGTTTTCGTCGCTTGGCAACGACGTTGTAAAATAAGCCGCCCCCCCCGGTGTT